TGGAGCTGAGGGCTGGAGTCCGTGCACAGGGGAACCAGCAGCAGGACTCTGCAGGACTACCGGGCGCACCCAAAGCTGCAGAGAAGTGGTGGGGAGGGCATTTCCTATGCCCCCTTCCTCCCCCACTGCCTTGCCTGACAGCAAACCCCACTGTCTGCAGAGGGTCCTGCCTGCAGGAGTCCTGGTCTGACGGGACCAGAGGGACCTCTGGGTACAGCGGCCTCTCCTCCCTCCCACCCCCCCTTGAGCAGGCCCATGGCCCCCAACACTTGATAGTTGCTATTGAGACAGTTTGGTGTCAGGAACCACAAAAAGGAACCATTTGTGGCTATAAGAAGCCCTTGCCACCTCTGGGCCCCCGCCTTGCCTGACTTTGGGGTCCAGAGAGAGAATGTGCTGGCCCCACTGTTCCCCTCCCCCATGGTCCTACTGAGGACAGCAGCCGCAGCCTCGGGGACCGGGGAGCTGGCCTGGGCTGGGGGACCGAGCTGTGCTCTCCCTGCAGCCCCAGCCTCTCTGGTTCCAGTCCCTGCAGCTCGACCCTGGGCTGCTCCCCAGGGAGCGAGGACTTTCCGTGGGATGGTTTGGTCACCCAAGGGCCCCTGGAGGAGAACTGTCCGGCGGCCCAAGACAGGACCCACCCAGAGGCCTCAGGAGGCTCCTCCTAAGATCCTATGAGTCCCTCCCCCCTTGTGGGGAAACTGAGGCTCAGAAGATAAGGGCCCTCCCTATAGAGACTGAGAGACGAGAGGGGATGAGGGGGGTGGGGTAATTAAGTCCAAAGCTGCAGCCAGCAACCCTCCCATCCAGCAGAGATACCCCACAAGACAGTTGACTTTTCTACCAGGGCAGACACAGCGAGACCTTGGAGGTAAAGCAGCTGCCGCCCTCAGGGCTCACAGAGTCCAAGATCGGGAATCGGGGGTGCTGAGGTCTCCCTCTGCCAGGGCAGGAGGTGGGGGGGACAGATCCTGGAAGACCTCAGGCACCTGGGGGAAGGGAAGTCCTTCCCTCTGAAGGGGCAGAGGTGAGAGGCCGCCCAGGGTTCAGGAACCGAGAACCCCAGGACCGTTGGGTTCTCAGGGCCGTGGCTCTGGGAGGTGGGTCTTCCGAGTCTCCCAGCCCAGCCCAGCACACAGGGATCCTGGTCAAAGAAGGGGTGACCTGTTCCGGGAACCATGGGGAGGCCTTTGAGCAGTGAAGTGGCCTGGCCAGGGCTGACCCGCCAGAACTTGTCTTGCCCCTCCTGGCTCAGCCATCATGCCCTCGCCACCTCGGTCCCCAAAGTGCCCTCTGCAGTCAGGTTTGAACTGGAAAATTGATATGGAGCCCTGAACCGGAGAGGTGGGGTGGCCACCCTTCCATCGGGGACCCATCGGAGACACAGGAGCTGGGTGTGGGGCTTTGGAGGTGCCAGTGTTCCTGCAGCTCTGGGGAGGTGTCTGAGCCGCACAAAGCCACTCTCCTGCTCTCCCCAGAACCTCCTCTAAGGTGCCAACTCACCTGTCCCCAGCCACCGTGGGGAGAGCCTCTTCCCCAGCCGCCGTGAACCTCAGGGGCCCCCGGGTGCTGGGAAGGCTCGGTCTGGGTGGGCGGGGTGACCTCTGGCATGCCCCTGCCCTCGCTGGATGTCGTTTTCCCGCACAGTTTCATAAACTTCCCCAAAGTGCTTCCCTTTCTGGCCGGTTCAGCCAACGTCCACAGCGCCTCTGGGCCAAGCTCTGTGCCGGGTGCTGGACGGCCAGCAGACGCGGAGCCCTGGTCCCGGCCGACATGTTCCCAGTGTCACTGCCAGCTCATCACTTCACCCAACTGGTGTCCCCGGAGGCATTCAGGGCGAAAGGAAACTGAGGCCCAGAGAGATGGCCCAGCCGTCCTCAAATGGCCCAGTGTGATCAAGGACCACCCACCTAGAAGGTCCCTCTGGGCCAAGCGGAGCCCAGTGTCAAGACGTGAGCCCCCCCCCCCCCCCCCCCCCCCCCCCCGCCACGGCCTCCCAGCACAGCCCCCAGCCAGGACCTGCGTCTGCTGCCTCCTCCTTCCTGGCCCCTCGTCCCTTCAACCGCAGGGCCCAGCCGGCCTCTGGAACGCGTGCCCAGGACCTTGGTGATATTTTGAGTTTAAGAAAACTTTGCAGTCGGCAGGAGCTCTTAAAGGTTATAAATAGCAGCAGCAGGAGCCCACAGCCAGGAGCAGCGGAAACACGTGTCAAACAGACCTGGGAGGGGTGTTCGGAGGCGCAGACCCCCAGGCCCCCTCCCCCTCCAGAGACCCACCGGCTACTGGGGATTTTATAGCCACTGGAGCCGGAAGTCACACCCCACCCGAAGGCGGAAGGCGTCTGGAAAGTGAGGCTCCCTTCTGCGCCCCTTCCCCACCCTACCCCCACTGGGAGTAGTTAGTCAAGTCGGGGTGGGGGGGGTGGTATGTGGGGCGCTGCTGAAAGCGGGTCTGGGGTGGGAGGGCTTGCTCCCACCATCTCCCTCCCCCCACCAAGGTCTCCACTCAGCTGCCCCTCATAGGAACCCCAGGACTGAATGGGGTTCCCAAGCACATCCGCTCAAACCCAGCCATCGGCAGCGAGGGGACAAGCCCGGGGTGAAGAAGGAATTTTTCAGGGTCACTCGAGAGCTGGGCACACTCGGGCCCCGAGCCGTGGTTCCTCCACTGAAAGCCGCTGCTGCCCGGCTCTATTCCGAGGGCCCACGGAGCAATCCCTTACCCACACCCTCCCCGAGGGAGGGCAGCATTGCGAAGAGTCCCCTGGGGTGAGCGGACCCTAGGGCCCCACCCAATCCCCACATTTCTGCTTCTGATGGAGATCTTGATAGAACAGATGAGAAAGCAAGCCCTGGGGAGGACAAGGGACTTCTCGTCCCTGGCAGGGTGTGAACCCCTACCCACCCGGCCAGATGTCGCCCGCCCCGCCGGGGTGTCGGCAGTGAACACCTGAGGCCAGGCCTGGGGTCTCCACCAGGGAGTCAGCTCTGGGTTAGGCAACTGTGGTCTCAGGCTTTGCCTTCACAGCCACGCGATTTGAGGACATGCTCTTGGGACTGAAGGGACACAGCCACAAAGGCCCCCTGGATTTTCCCAACTGCTCCACGGTGAGCACGGGCAGGAACTGGTGCTCCAAGGCCAAGGTCTGGAAACGGGGGCACGTCTGAGGCTCCCACCTGCCATCCCCAGTCCTGCCTCGTTTCTGCCCCACCTGCTGCCCACGGCCCCCAGCCCCTCTGGGGGCGGCAGCCAGGCCTGGTGTCCAGGCGCTCCGAACCTCAGGGAGCCCTGAAGGGTTTATGGACTCCCAGTTGAATGGGCCTGTTGAGCTCAGAGGGGGCCGGGCCCGAGTACACAGGACTGGGTCTGAGCTGCCATTCTCCACCTGCCTCCTTCCCCAGGACCCAGGACCCAAACACAACTTCCTGTCCCTGGAGCCAAGGGCCAGACTCACCCCCCAGAGCCCTGAGGTGGGGCCCTCTGGAGGGACATAGCGTGTCCCACCCAGACAGCCCCCCAAAGTTCAAAGACCTCAGATTTTCAGAAGCCCTTCAAGCCTTGGACTGCCGGCCCAGTAATGACAGATCAGGAAACTGAGGCCCCAGGCAGGACGGGACCCACAGGTCCGTCCTGAGGGCAGAGCCCGCCCCAGCCTCCTCTTTCCCTGGCCAGTGAGGATGGGAACAGTGGGAAGACACAGGTGCCCACTGAGCTGCAGAGCTGAAATCTGGCCCCCAGGGCCCTGGTCACCGAATGGCCCACGTGCCCTGAGACACCGTGGAGCTGCACCCTTGGGAGCAGCCAGCTCCAGGGCAGGAGCCTCATTAGAGCTGTTTGTCAGTCTTGTGACGTTTGCTTTCCAGGCCTCACTTTCCCCACCTGGGGGCCAGGTGTTGGCCGGCCAGCCCCCTACCTCCCTTTCCAGCTTGTGAACTGGAAAGCACCGTGGAAACTGTGAAGTACGGTGCTCTCCCTCAGAGCCTGGGAGACCTGGGGACCGGTCAGCTCTGGGGATGGGGCCTCAGGCACACGCTCCAGCAGCGGGGGGCTGGTGTGGGGCCGGCCCCCTCCCGTGCTGGGCACTGGGGCCCTCGGCTGGAATGTGCTGAGCAGCAGCGGCCACGTGAATCATTATCCCTTGTCGGGCTGAGCTTGGGACTTCCTGACCCAAACCAGCTCAGGCTGGGCTGAGGCAGAGAGGCGGCCTCCACACAGGGTCTCCGGCCCTGGCTCTTGTAGGGTTCCTCCCCGGCTATCCGACCCCGGCGCTGCCACGGTTCACCCTGTAGACCCTCAGAGGGAGGGCGTTTTGCCCACAACCCTCGGCCTCTGCAACCTGCAGCTGCAAAAGCAAGTGTCGAGCTCGGGAGGCACTGGAGGGCACCCAGAGGGTTTCCTGGGTGGTTTCACGCCAGAAGCCCAAGCTCCAGTGGGCAGTGACTCAGATGTGGGGGGGCTATGGGGCTGCAGGGGTCAGGACATGGGTAGAATGAGGGTCCCCACGTCTCTCCTGGCTGGTGGCCCCTGGGGACCCAGTGCTGGGAGGTCAGGCCTTCTCAGACCTCAGTTTTCCTGCCAGTGAGCTGGGTATGAACCACCATCAGCCACCATCTGATTTCTTTAGGTGCCTAAAACTTGAATGAAGTTACATCAGGGCTGTGCTCAGATGTCCTGGTGGCCTGAAATTTCTGAGACGTGGAAAGGGCCGGAAGGGGTAGACAGGGACACAGGAGCAGCCTGGCAGGGCAAGGACACAACCACTGAGGCACACACTCCAGAGGCACTGGGCTGGCCTGGGCGCCTGCCTGGAGGGCAGACCTGTGGAGAGGGTGGGGAGGGCCCCAGCCAGGGCACCTGGGTACTGGTGTGCGTGGCCTGCCTCTGCTCCCTCACCAGGGGTCTGGGACAAAGTCCTGGGCCAGTGCAGAGCTTGGTAAAAAATCATTAATTTTCCTTGTCAAGCGAAAGCTCTGACTCAGGCCTTTTTCTATCCCGAACAGCAACACCCTGGCTTGGGCCTGAAGCACAGAAGCTGCTCAGGGCTACCCATGGCCTCCCCGTGGCCAACCTGACTCTGCTCCGAGGCTCAAGCCTCCACTCAGAAGGCCTTGCCAGCTGCAGGTGAGTAGGAACCAGGAAAGCCCAGGGGCTCGGGTGCAGCTGGACAGGGCCAGGCGGCCACGTCCCCCTGGGTTAGTGCCGTGGGGCAGACAAGGCGCACCAGCCCAGGAGGAGACGTCTGTGGGTCTGACACTAGAGCAGCAGGAGGCCTCTGACCTTGTGACCAGGAGAGACAGGAAACCACACCCCAAACCTCTCTGGGGGTGCCCCTGCCTTCAACAGAGCCTCCACACCCCCTGTTCCCCCAGCTTCCCTCCTGAGAGGTGAGAAACCGGGCTTCCTACTGCAGGGGGAGGGGGCTGCCCGACCAGACCAACAGCAGTGGGAGCCTCCAGTGACTCAGCCGGGTGGGGGTGGATGGGGGGTGTTTATGAGCAGCCGAAATGGCTGTAAAAGTGGCACCTCAGTTCACTTATGGCCTGGCCATCCCCTCCCCTACCAGCCCCTTGACTTGAAAAGCTTCCAGAGGGGCCTGGAACCTTAGCAAGATCTGGGATTAAGGCTTGGGTGGAGTCTTAGCTCTGGAGTTGGGGTTCAGCAGGGGGTTAGAGGTCACACTGGCATAAGGACTCGCTCAGCCTGGGGGGAAAAACCCAGGCTGAGTCAGGGTTGAGGCTGGGACTGAGGCTGACTTGGGCTAAGCTTGGGTGACGAGGTATGTAGCATCCAGGTTTGCAGGCCATCACCCCCAGGGTGGGGCAGTGGGTTTCCTGAGAAACCACGGCTGGGCTGCAGAGCTGATGACTGAGCTGGTGTCTTTCCTGTTTGCATCTGGTGCCACCCGGGCCCGCAGCTCCATGCCTTACTGGTGCTAACGGTCGGCAGGCAGCAGAGGCTGGCCAGCCCAGGGCCACTGTACCGGAGGCCAGTCCTGGCTCCAGTTCTAAGCTCCAGTGATCACCCTGGCTCCTCCTCCTCCTAGGCCCCCATGCCTGGAATCAGAGAGGGGAGTCCCCACAGGAACTAGCTCCCACTCCCTGCCCCCATCCAGGCCTTTCAAAATGCCATTGAAACTGACCTGAAACTGACCAGAAACTGACCCAGGGGCTCTGCCCCTTGTCTGTCAAAAAGAGCAGGCCACTCTCTACCAGTTAATGTGTGACACCCCACCCTCATGGTGGCACTTTAACCAGAGGCCTGGGGCTGAGTAAGGGGTTCAGCGGCCCCACCTGCATTGGTAGAATGTCCAGAGGGAGACTCTGGGTTGAGACGCATGAGTTACGGCCCCAGGAACACCCTTCAGAGGCCCAGAGCCCGTCAGACCCCTGTCTGCAGTCCTCTCCACTGCCTGGTCTGGTCCTTCCAAGTACAAACACTGTTTCTTTCCAAAGCTCAAGTTTTCTGATGTCAGATCTCAGAAGGACTCCCCCATCAGTCCCTAGTTGTACCTCTCAGTTCCCCCAATCCCTCCGTGAAGGTCCTTTTCCTAGTACCAAGGGGTGGGTGTGGTCAGTGGTCATCAATCGTAAAACTTAGAACAGAATCACTTAGAGGCATAAAGCTGAAACTGCCAAACCATAACACCGAAGAACCACAAGAGTCCTTTAGGTGCCCACTGTGGGCACCTAGACCTCTGTTACCATAGGGGCCACACATCACAGGGGCAGCCCCCAAATCAGAGGACCTCCGCCGGTAGTGCGGGAGGTAGCGACCCAAGAACAGGCGGAGAAGAACAATCCCAATGAAAGAAATGACGAATGCAAAGGCAGGGGACTGGACACGGGGAGAAGGCCTTGGACAGCTGGGAACAGTCACCTCTGGAGGAAGCTGTCTCAAATAGCACAGTCCTCAAACTCCAGGCCAAGCAATGGGCGCAGTGGGGCGCGGAGAGGGACGTGCCCACAGAACGCATGGAGAAGACAGTTGTGGGTTCCACCTGGGAGATGGCCGGGCTGGAGCCTGGAGAGGAGGTGGGCTGCCAGGAAGGTTGGCTGCAGCTCCAGTAAGGGCGCCTTGAGACTTGAGCCTGTGGACCCATTCACATTGAGGGAGAGGATTTGGGGGTTCTGAGGAGCTCAATTTCCACAGCGGAGCCTGGAGGCCCCAGAGCCCATGGGTCTGGACACCCGTCTTCTGAGAGGCGCTAACACAGTAAAGTGAAAAGTGCCCTTTGTGTCAGCTTGTCTACCCCTTGTTTTCCGGATGAGGAAACTGAGGCCCAGACGCCAGGAGAGTCCTCAGGGCCAGAATACACAATTGGTAAGTGCGTGAACAGGGACTGTCATTTAATCTGAATGGTATTTCCCAGGGCCCGGACAATCACATCAACCTCCTCTTGACCATCATTAAAGGTCCTCCCGTCTAGGAACTCCCAGGCTCCCCCTGGACCTCAGTTTCCCAGCCAGTACTGAGAGGTGAAAGACTTGGGGTCCGAGGCCCCCTCTCCTCGGCGCTCAGGCGTCCCCACACCGCCCAAGCATGCAAGCCCCGCCCCTCCAGCCCCAGTCCCCGAAGACTCCTCCCTCCTTTCCTTTAGCTGTTAGTCCCCAGTGGACCGGAGCCCGCCAAGAGCGTTTGGGGGTGTGACCGGGTGGGAGAAGGAGGCGGAGCCCGCGGGTTGGGGTCTTAGCTGAGCCCTTGGTCTTACGGCCTCTAGCCGCCTGGGGTGGAGTCAGGGGCGGAGCTGGAGAGGCCGGGCGGGCGCCAGGATGGGTAGAGACCTGGAACCCGGGAGACACTGGGGAGGAGAGACTCTGGGGAGGGAGAGGAAAGGGCGTGAGGCCAGAGACGCAGGGGGAGGAGCGGGTCTAGGGTACCAATGACTGGCCCCTTCGGGATGTTCCCAAGACTGGGGGTCCAGGCGAGGGCAGGGCAGGGCGGGGCGGGGCTGGAGGAGGCGGCGGCCGAGTCGGGCTCCGGGTCCCGGGGTCCAGCCGGAGAGGGAGTCCCGCGGGCGCACAGACAGACCCGCGCCCGCGGTCGTGCGGGCACCTCTGGTGAAGAGGCCCTGCTTCACGGCTGAGGGTACCTAGTCACCGGTCTCGGCCGGGCAATGAGAAATAAATAAATAAATAACATTTGTGACTCTCGGAGAAGAAAATGAAGCTGCAGCCGCGTCCCGGGCCGCGTTCCCAGGTCCCGAAGTCAGGGCTGCCCAGCTCCGTCGCCCCCACAGCCACATCCCGCCACGGTGCGACCCGGGGCCGCGGCCTGCACAGCAATGTCCGGGGCAGGGGGCAGCCGGCTCCGCTCCGCCGCTCCTCACCCCGCGTCGGAGGCGACGGAGGGGGGCGGGGGCGGGAGAGGCCCAGGGAGGGCGCGGGGGAGGGAAGCGGCGCCCGGCCGCGGGGGAGGGGGAGCAGTAGACGCCGCAGCGAGGGACGCGCGGCGGGCGGCGGCTCCGAGCGGCGGGCGGGCCGGGGGCGCTGAAAGCCGAGCGGACCAGGGGGGATCCCGACAACTCCATGAAGTCCCCCCGGGGCCGCGGACGGGGCGCTGTCCTGGGGAAGCTGTCGGGGGGTCCCCGACATCCATGGCTAGGCGGGGGCCTCGGCGACGCGCTCGCAGTAAGTCGGGGTCGGGGGCCGAGCGGAGGGGGCCGGAATTGGGTGGGGGCGACTCGGGACCTGACCGGGGCGGGCGCGCTGGCCTGTCTCGGTGTCAGTTGGCGGCGCCTGCTCGGAGCCCGGTGGAGCCGCCAGCCCCGAGCCTCTCAGCTCCGTGGCTTTTTTGGAAACTTGCAAATGTTTTCGTAGAGAGAGAAGTCGGAGGGGAGGGAGGGAGCGAGGGAGTGACCGAAACGGAGCTCGGGGCTGCTGGAAGAACGGAGGCCAAGGCCGGGGGAACTGGAGACAGACTGACAGACAGACGGACGGAGCGTCCTAGCCGCAGGCGCGCTCCAGCGGCGCGGGCGCAGGCGGGGCTCCGGCCGGGGACCGGGAGGGGGCGCCGGAGGCGGCTGCGGACGGGATGGGGATTGAGGAGGTTGAGGGGCCAGGAGCAGGCGGCCCGACCACCGAAGGTTTCAGTGTCGTTGCAAAGTTGGGATCTCCTCCGCCAGCAGCAGGCCCCTAGCGGCTCAAAACGCGCCCCCCTCCCCGCCCCGCCCCCTTTGCGCTCACAGTGGAGCTAAAAATAACAGCCCCGTGCGCCCCCCGCAGACCGCGACCCCAACCCCTCCCCCTCCCCCTCCCCCACTGGGCGTGGGGCGAAGCCACATCTCCCAGTTCCCCAAAAGAAAAAAAAAAAAAGAAAAGAAAAGGCGGCGCGGGGGGGGGGCCGGGGGGCGGGCCGGGGGCGGGGGGCCCGGCCATATGGATGTGATTTCTCCGCTCCGAGGCAGACGGGCAGCTCCGCAGCGCTCGGCGCCCGCCCGCCGCCCTCCCGGCCCCCGGCTGCCTCCCTTCCTCCTCCCTGTCTCCTCTGCGCTCGCTCTCTCGCTAACCCTCGGCGCATGGGCCCCGCGTCCGGCCCCGGGGCCTCGGGCCGCCGGGCCGCCGGGGTCTCCTAGGCCCGGGCGTGGGCGGGGCAGCTCGGCCTGACACAGCTCTGTACCCCATCACCATCACCAGGGCCGGCGGCGGCGGCTGCCCGGAGGGACGGGGCCCTAGGCAGTGGCGATGGGGGCCGCCCGGATTGCGCCCGGCCTGGCGCTCCTGCTCTGCTGCCCGGTGCTCAGCTCCGCATACGCTCTGGTGAGTCCCAGTCCGCACCCAGGACAGGCTTGCTCTGGGGGTCCCTGGAGGGGGAGGAGGGGTGTCCAGGGCCCAGAATCTTGGGTTCCCCAAGTAACGTCAACTTTGGATGGCGGCTTCCTCTGACCTGGGATCCTCGGTGCCTGCTGCCTGGATTGCAGACACGCGGTGGGGTGTCTGGATTCCGGGTTCCAGATGCCTAAGGTCTCCCTGTTTCTGAAACTTGGGTTTGGGGCTCCGGTCTGAAAACCTGTGGTTGGGGATCCCCTGTCTTCTGCTGCTCTGGCTGTGCCTCCCTCGAAGATGACAGTGTGATCTAGCAGAAGGCCGAGCTGTGGCCCACAGGCTGCTCCCCCGCTGCAGCTCAGGACACAGGGCTGTGGGTCTGAGGTCAGAATCACGCAGGCGGGGGTAGGATTTAGGGGACCCTGCAGCTCTCGGGGTCTCGTGCATGCACACACACATCCATCCACTCGTGCCCCGCTTTACCCAGAGTGGAAGCGGTGTGCCCAGGGAGGCGGTGTGGTGTGGCGTGGAGGAGGAATGGAGTCCCCTGGAGGAGACTGACCTCACAGAACATTCCTACAGGAGAAGCACTCTGGAGGGGGACTTGGTGACTGAGGGGATCCCATCTGGACCCTCCTGAGAACAGAGGCCAAGAGGGGATGAGAGGGAGCAGGAGAGACAGATGAGAGAGGAAGAGACAGAGAGAGACAAAGGGTGGTGGGGTGAGTGCTCTCCGGAGCAGGAGGAGTAGACGGACTGAGGACTGCAAAGACAAACAGGGAGACAGCTGAGATGCAGAGGGGCAGCGCCCTGCTCATCCTGGGCCAGGGTCTGGGGGCCTTTTCCAGAAGAGTCAGTCAGACCCCATCGCAGCCCTGCCCCAGGGGACCAGCCGTTGCTGAAGAGGCTGCCTGCCTGTGCATCAGACTTCAAGGCCTCTGCTACCTCTCCTGCCTCCCAGGTGAGGGCATTTGCCTTCTAGAAAGACAGGCAGACAGGCAGCCTCCTCCTCCTGCCCAGCTCCCTACCAGGCAGAGCCCCAAGGGGAAGGCAGTAGCACTGCGATTCCTCCAGCCTCTGTAACCTTGGGCTATCCTTCACACCTGAGTTTCCCCAGTGTAACAAAATGGAGAGAAAGAAAGAGTTGCTTAAGAGTCCCCTGAGCGGAGGCGGTCCTCTGCACTGCAGCCTCGGCTTGCCCCATTCACCAGCGACACACACTCCTGACTTTGGCCTCTCAAGGCCATCGGCATCAACCATGTTAGGACTTACGGGCAGAAAGCGGGGGTTCTGAGAAGGACCCTGGTGAGAGCCAGGGCCCAGAGCATTTCTTTACCCTCCCCGTGGGCCGCTCCAGGGCCCATGAGCACAGCCACCTGCAGAGCCAGCCAGCCAGCCCGGCCCACCTGCGCAGGACTTTCCAGGCATAGACAGGGTGACGGGCGGGGGCGTCTTGGCAGTGTGTCTGTCCGCAGTCCGTGGGGCTCTGGGCGTGGTGTCCTCTGGGCCTGCGTGAGTGCCTGAGTCCCCGTGTGAGGTCACGTGTGAGCTCACGTGTGCCCAAAGCTGTGGGTTGCACCTGACTTTCAGGGGCGCAGTCGTGCTTGCAGGTGCGTGCATTTGTGGGTGCACGTGCACCCGGGTCTGCTGGTTTCTTATTTCTGCGGAAGGGGTGCTCTGCAGCAGCCCCTACCTGCCCGAGACCATTCTGAGCACTTACAATGTTCACTGCATTACCTCACGGCCCTCTGAGAGGGGTCTGTCACTGCCCGAATGTTTTAACTGACCCGAGTCTCACAACCGATGTGACCATGACTTACGGCGCGCCGGCCAAGTGCCCAGCTCTGTGCCTCCATGAGGGGAGGGTGACAGGTCCCCAAGGCCCTGTTCTGGTTTCTGGAAAAACTGAGGCCCATGCAGAGCATTTGCCCGGCTCGGCTGTGGCTCAAGGCTGAGGATGGGGCAGGAGGAAAGGCGTCAGGGCCGAGTCTGCTCCGAGACCTTGTGGTTACACCTGTGGCTTGACTCTCAGGCCAGTGTACTGGTCCTTCCCTGGTTCAGGGCTAGAGGACATGGCCCAAGGGTCACCCAGCACCCTGTGGGTCCCCTGGGCTCAGCAGGAGCCTGCCAGCTCCCTCTTCTGAACACAGGCCCTGCCTCTCCCAACGCAGACGTGCGCCAGTGCCCACCGCGGCCACCAGCCCCCTCGGAGAGCCTCTGTCACCAACCCTGCAGGCTGCCTGCCCAGCCAGCCCCGACTGGGGGATGAAGAAGCGCTCCACTGGGAGCACACTGGCTGTGGCCAGACTCAGCTGGTCCGTCCTGGGCTTTACAGGGAGAGTGACTGCGAGGCTGGGGTCAGGTGGAGTGGGGTCTGGAGGGAGGGAGGGTTGTGAATCAGGACAGAGGAACGGCCCTGTCACTGGGGATGCCTCGTCCTGAGGACCCGTGAAGGAGAGACTGCGGGAGGAAAGGCCGAAGGCCACTGCAAGGGGCTGGCTGTTAGTGTGGAGATGTGACGTCTGAGTCAGACTCAGGAGGGACTGGGGTGGGAGGTGCAGGGGACCCCTCCCAGCCTGCTCCAGGGCCGCTTGGCCCCAGGGCTCACTTTTGAGGACAAGAAGGAGCCACTGTGTACTGACCAGTGGCTGTGCCCAGATTTCAAGCCAGAAACCATCACAAGTGTTTTCTCACTCCGTCCATTTACTGCCCCCCCCCCCATTTTATGGGAAATAAAATGGAGGGGGGAGGTGAGTCTGCAGCAGAGATGGGATTTGAACTGAGATCTTCAGACGGCTGCACTGAGCTTCCTCCTCCAAAGCAGGGTGAGGATTTGGTGGGGCAGCAGATCCCCAGGTGCCCTCTGGGTTTTCTTTTTCTTTTTTTAAAAACACTAAAATCCTATTACTTTACTTTCATGTTCTTAGTTTTCACTTGCTAACAGGCACTTGACAGTGTTCTTCCTTATACAAGAGTCAAACGCTACGGATGAAACAGACGTCATTCTTGAGCACCCCCAGGCCCAGTCCCCCTTTCAGAGACTCCAGTCTGGGGTGAGGACGTGCTCCCGGCTGCTTTCCCTGTGCTTCCGAAGGGCGCCTTTTTGGGCACCTCCCAGGAGATGGCGTTGTTCTGTTGTCTTCGGTGTGTTTTTAAATGAATGTTACCAGTGGAAAGATAGGGCCCAGCCGTATGCATTTTTCTACTCACAGGCACGCTCTGGAGGCCTCTGGGTCGGAAAGCGCCGGTCTTTGTTTCATGCCGCCTAGTACTCCAAAAGCTGGGGTTTGCGCAGCAGTTCCAGGAATGTGCGTTCAGAGCGTTTCTGCATAATTTTTGCGTGCGCGTGTGATTCCAGACGGTGGCAGGGAGGCCCCTTGAAACCCTCTCTTGTCCCCGGGGGACCACTTGTTTCTCCGTGGGGTATTTCCACATTCCGTCACTGCTGGGTCTGAGAGTAGTTTTGATCTTCGTGCGCGTGGCCACACTGCCCTCTAAAAAGCGATGCCAGTTCAGACTCCCACCCCCGAGGGAGCGGAGCGGGCGGGCCTCTCCCCTCCACCCTCCGAACAGCGTGAGGACTCTTTCCTTCACAGTCGCCAATCTGAGAGGAGAAAGTGGTGTCTCGTGTCATTTTAGGTCACCAATTGCCAGTGAGTGTTTGGACTTTATGTCGGTTTATGGTCCGTCGTCTGAGAGCTTGCTCAGAGCCATTACCCATCTTTCTGTGAGTTATTTGTCTTTTTCGTATTGATTTGTTGAAGCTTTTTATATCACCTGCCCTTTAAACACGCCAGCTCCCTCCGCCCGCGGCTCCGGGGACTGCCTGTGGACGGTGGGGGCGCCGCAAGCCCTCGGGAACTTGGGTTTTCTTCGGAATGTTTTAATGAGGCATCAGGCGGCCTCCCCCAGATTCCTGTTGTGGGCCTTCTGGGGACACTCCCTGGTCCGGCCACCACATGGGGAAGGCCAGCGAGAAAGAGTCCCCAGGAAAAAGAAAGGGTGTGGTGTGGCTTTTGCAGACCCCTTAAATTATCTGCAAAGCACAGTGTGACTGAGAGAGGGTGCGGAGTTTTTCTCAGATTTGCAAAGACGTCAGCAACCTCCAAGCCCTTAAGACTCCCAACTTTGGGAGCTACCTGGTGGGGAGGTGGGACCTGCTGGGACCTGCCAGGACCCTATTCTGCTGGCCAGGCAGGCTGTGGCTGGGTTGGGCCATGCCATCTGGGCCTCGGTCCCCTTAGCCCAGGTAGAGACCACTGGTGAAAATCCACCCTGTCCTCGCCACCAACTCCACCATCCCAGGCTCCGTCCCACCGCCTGCCCTGAAGGCATCCGCGCTGGCCAGGACCAGAGGCAGGCGTCACAGTGCCTCCCCCCCAGCCCCTCCCAGCCCCGAACACAGACGGCCTGTTCAAGAAGGCCTGGCGACGGGGAGGAAAAGTCCGCACTTGTCGGCGGTGGCAGGCAGGAGTGTCCCCGGCAGGGAGCCCGTCCCAGCCTGCTCGGGCCAGCCGGACAGACTGAGGGCAGCCCGGGGTGGGGAGCAGTCCCTAGCCAGCTGGCATGGATGACACCGAGGGGGGCCAGCACGGCCCTGGAGTGGAACTTGGAGCAGAGGTACAGGCAGGCCAGGAGGTCACGAGGCGGTCCCCTGCTCACCACGGTGCTCTCCTTCTGGTTTTTCTGGAGGCACAAACTCCTCTGCACTTAGAGCTGGGCACAGGCCACCGCCGCCGCCACCTTCACCATCTGATCACCTGTCTGCCTGCCTCCGCCCCTGACCTACCTCCGTGGAGGCTGCCTCAGGTGCTCTGCAAAGAGGCGATTGCTTGGCACAGCAAAAGCCGCGGCCCACAAGGACTGTGCACAGCTGGTACTGAGGCCAGCACCCGGTGGCTGAGTACTTCCTCCTCCTTCCCCTTGCTCCTGGGTCGCAGCCAGTGTCAGGCAGACCTTCGCTGCAGTCCCTGCCCTCTGCTTTTTAGCTGTGACTCTCTGTCTCAGCGTCCCCATTTGAAAGATAAGAGGTGGTGGAAAGGGAGGGACATGTGGCTAATGTCCAGCAGCCACATGCGGGCTGGTGCCCACAGGTAGAGCGGCTCCTGTGGGGCGGGAAGAGACCGGCCACTCCTCTGGGGATGACCACCAGGTGACCCGCTTCCCCTGGAGGTGGGCAGGAAGCCAGCCACCAACTTCCCCCCAGGGGACCAGGCTGGACCCAGGCAGAGGGCTGAATGAGGTGACCCAGGAGGGCATCCCGGGGCTAATGCCGTGCAGAGGAAGAAGCGCCTTCCCCGGGCAGAGGTGTCAGCCACCGAAGAAGGCCCCCTTGTATTTCCTCCATAGCTCTGCCCTGCGGAGACTCTAGGCCTGTCTGGGATCACAGACAGCAAATGTGTGGAATTTGGCAGTTAGGGGAGGCCCCGAGAGCAGTGGCTCACGCTGGTCAGTGGCATGGAACCGGCTCTCTCCACCATGATGGTCACCGCCATGCCTCCATCACCGGCACCAGCCAGGACGTCGCCACCTCACGGTCCTCGCGGCCACCATGGCTGCCATCCCCGCCCCTGCCTCGGAGCCCGGTGAGAACGAGCCGTGTGCTCCCGGTGGGAGGGGCTGAGAGCAGACGGCTTTTCTCTTCCACTCAGCTTCTGAACTCAGGAAATAAGAAACACAGCCGGGCCTCTTGACCACACACCACTCTCTCCCCCGGACAGCAGCTTCCACGTTTGTAAATAACATATTGGCTTCCCGCCCCCATCTGCACCCTGCCTGGAGCCCCGCCAACGCCAGCTCAGCGCTGCCCGGCTCCCTCTCCCCAGCTCAGGGCTAAGGTCAGGTTATCACCCCACCCCTGCGTGTTCACAGGCTGCACGTCACACCCACGTGCGCACACGGGAAGGCTCCGTGTTGGGTTGAACGAGGGGATAGTGAGCTACCTCGGGGACCTTGAAGCCGAGCCCCAACGATGGTTAGGTCAGGGGAAGTCAGCCTTAACCCAACACCATGGGAGGGGTGTGGGGGAGGCGGTTTGGGACTCCTGGCATCAGGGCTGGGAGGCCCCCGCAGGGGTGGCTGTGGACTAACTGACCCCCAGCCATCACGCAGCCCTGGGTTGTCAGTCTTTGCCCCAGAAAGCCAGGATCCTCAGACTGCGTCTAAAACGGTGAAGGTCCCAAGTCCTATGCGGCCAAGAAGGCCCAGACTCTGCAGGAGCAGGGCTGGTGGGGCAAGGAGTGGGAGCCGCCAGGCCAGGGGAGAATCGGAACTGGCAGCATTTCCCCTGTCCCCGCAGGAGGCTGGGCCTCCTCTGTCAGGGCAGAGGCAGAGGCCCCCCTGACAGACTCTTACCCCACAAGCCCAAGCAGTGACTTTGAACCTTAGTGTGAGTCCAGGGTGGGTCCAGAACTGCAAGGTGCGTCCAGAACTACAAGGAGTTACTGGGACGTCCTTCCACCCCAGAGGCCTGCATGGCAGGCACACCCACCCAGAGGGCCCTCCTTATTCCTCCTCCTATTCCCAGGAATCTCACCTTCCATCTGCCCCTCACGGTGGCCCCAGCACTCAGCTTCTCCAGATCACCTCACATGCCACTCTGGGTCCCCAGCCTGGGGGCGCCCATGGCCATGGCTTGGTGCTACTGCCGCTAACAGTAGCCGTAGGAACAGTCAGCTTCTCCTGGGCCCCACCTCTGCCCAGGTTTTCCACGCACTACGGCAGCTCCTCAAGCAACACGGTTGTAACGTTGGTAAGACGCCGCTGCAGTGTAACTCTTGTCTGTATCAGTGAGCCGCTGGTGAACTGGCTGCGTGATGATTCATTTCTCTTCAGGTCTCAGAACCGACCGAAGACCTTAAGTGGGGACTCCCGGTGCCTCACTTATCCCCACAACAGCGCTGTCCTGATTTTGCAGGCAGGAAACTGAGGCGCAAGGGTGAAGCGACTTTTCCCAGAGACACGGGGGCTGTCCCTGGTGGAGGCAGGATTCAGGCTCCAAGTGCTGGTGGTGGAGTCTCCTGCACTCGAGAGGGAGGGCGCAGCTGGAGGGAGGGGCCGGTGGGAAAGTGCTTCCCTGATTCGGGCTGGGATGCCTTGTGCTGCAAGGGCAGTTCTGCCATGATTGAGTGTCAGAGAAATGGGTCGCACCGCACAGGGAGGTCAGAGGCGGGGCCACGCTGTCCCTGTGGATGAAAGAAGGCGTTTGGGGGCTGTGGGGCGATGGAAGCACATGGGCCCCCCTCTCCACATGAAAGTGAGACTCCAGAAAAGAGGGTGCGCCTCCTCTTGGCATGGAGGGGCTGAAGCCAAGAGCAGACAGATGCCGTGGGCCAGTTCCTGGTCCTCACCCAGTTAGCACAACTGTCTGTCTGTCAGTCTGCCAGCCCCGCCGTCTCCAGCCTGTGCCCAGGTGCCCCTGGTCCAGGCTGTCTGCCCCTCGGTCTTACCGTGGGGCTCGAGTGTCTATTGAGGGGCCGGCGCGCCTCAGTCAGTCCCTTGAGAGCTGCCTGTCAGCTGGAAAAATATGGTGTGTTACGTCTGTGTTGAGAGATGGGTGGGCAAACAGAAAAGGGCATTGATGGTGATTAGTGTTAGGGGGCTGGTGGCAATGTTGGTGAAGGCGGTGACGGTGCTGCTGTTGCCTTGGGTGGTAACGGTGCTGGTGGAAATGGCACTGGAGGTGGTGTCGGTAAGATGTTCTACCAGCCGGTGGCAACAGTGGTGGTGACAGTGGTTACACTGATCAAAATAGGGTTAGTGCTGGTGCTGCTGGTGGGGTGAAGGGGTGTATGGTTGTGTTGTGTAGCTGGTCCAGGTGATGACGGTCGGTGGTGGACACTGATGGGGGTTTGAGCCGCAACACTGAAACGGCGGTGAAGGGCGCTGTGGTGGAAGCAGGGTGGGCAGGGCAATGGCACGGGGTCGGACCCTCAGCAGCCTGGATCCCCGATGCCACAGGCACAACGGGAACTTCAGGGTAGTATTGGGGCCCGCGAGGGGCAGGCCTGGGCTGTTCCCCGTTAAGCCCATCCCCCTGCAGCTACATCCCCCAGCCGCCTGTCCCCCTCCCTCCCAGCTGGCGGGTGGGGGGCAGCAGCAAGCACAGAGCAAGCTGCGCCAGCCCTTCCTGGGGGTCGTGACCGTGGGTTCCGCCGAGATCTCAGTATCCAACTCAAACTCCGGAGACACGCAGAAGCACAGACGCCCCGGCACTTTTGAGCAGCCGTATCACACACAGGTTCACAGACAGCTCAGGCTCACACCCCGAGTGTGCGTGCTGACAGGCCCCACCATGTAAGAACACACAGAGACGGCGCCCCCGGGGCCACGAGCGCGCCCGTGCGCAGTGGCGCCTCCGCTAAGTGAAACCAGCAGAACCCAAGGCCGGTGGAGCCAACCGGAGACTCCCTGGCCCTGGAGGCCCTTGCTGCCGCCACCAAGAGACTCGGTCAATTAACTTCTCCCTGTGGCCTAGCTCCTTGACCTACCCCAGCAGGCTGGCCAGCCTCGCCCGCCTACTTCCTCCCGGCCTCCTGCTGGTTCTCCCATCCCAGGAAGCTCCACTGGACTGAAGGGACCCAGCCGGGCCTTGGGATGTCTGAGGGGGAGGGGACACAGCCCTGCTCTGTGGGGTTTTGGGAGATATGCTTGTCCTGGGGGTCTCAGGGAATGCGTTCACTGCTCTGGGTTTCCCCCGTGGGCTTGGGCCCACTGCGCTGTGCCCAGGACGGGGTGCTGCCTCTGTCCTCTGACCCCTTTCCAACCACAAGTCATGGGGACAGGCGCTGTGGGTGAGGCCCCACCCCCAAGATGCTCCTGTTCCCTTCCTTAAAACCTTGCTGGTGAGACGGGGTGGGTGGATGGAGGTCCCAGCAGAGGGAGCGGCAGGAGCCCAGGCTGGTCAGGAGAAGGCTGCCTGCTGGGAGGGAACTTCCAGAGAGAATGGGGAGCGGGGTGCGTGTGACTCCCACCCTCAGACTGTGCAGGGGTGCCCTGCCCAGCCCGGACCAAGGCCAGCAAGCACCTTGGGGGTGCCAGGATGGGAGGTGCTGAGGCTGTCGCTGTTCACTGGGGAGAGGGTCAGGATGGAAACTGGTGACTTCCAAGGTCCTCTGGGGGCACTAGGACTTGAAGGAATCCAGGGCCAGCTTTTTCCCCAGAGCTCAGCGTTCCCTGCCCACCCCACCCACCAGGTTCCCGAGGCGACTGGGATCTTTGAGGATGCATCCTGGGACATTCCATCCCTTTCCCGTTGCCCCCTGGGGAGCAGGCTGGACAGCGGATATCAGTGGCTGCTGCGTGCAGGGTTACTGTCGGACAGACTGGGGACAGCCCCCTCCCCGGTTGTCCTCTGGTAGGGCAGCCCTGCCCCTTGGAGCTGCAGCTTCCCATCTGTAAAATGGGAGTGATAGAAGGCAGAATTCCCACATTCTAGAGTCAGGGGCCTTCGGAAGGGGGGCAGTCCCCTTTCAGGGAAGCTGGGATGGTTGTGGGGCCCGCTGCTGCTCCGGGAAGTCCTGCCTGCAGTCTGACTTTCAACTCGATAGGTGGATGCAGATGACGTCATGACCAAAGAGGAGCAGATCCTCCTGCTGCACCGCGCCCAGGCCCAATGTGAGAAGCGACTCAAAGAAGTGCTGCAGGTCCTGCAGAGGCCAGGTAGGGGCGGGCCAAAGAAAAGCATGGGGGGGGTCCGGAGAGGGAGGAGCAGAGGAAGGTGGGAGGCAGACTCCAGAGCCAAGTGGCATCAGGGGAGGGTGGTTCAAATAAAGTGGGGGGTCAGGACAAAGTGAGGGCCGAAAGTGGGGTGGGTCAGGCGAGAGCAAAGCCAGCAGGCTCAGAGATGGGCTGAGCCTCCCCTCCCAGGGTGGTGGACAGGCCGTGTGGAGGCAGGTGACTCACCCCCAAGCTGCTTAGATCTGTGAGGCGCAGCACAGACCCCCCCGGTCTGCCTGGACTGGCAGCACAGACTAGGCACTAGACCACCCCCCCCCCGGGGTGGGCCGGGACGGCCTCCTGGGAGGTGGTGTTCGAGGCAGGGCCAGGGGACGAGTAGTCTTCGAAGGAGGCCACCTGGGCAGAGGGCAAGGCAGAAGTGTCCAGGGTCAGGAGCATCCAGGGCCTGTGGGGCAGGATGGGGAGGCACTCAGAGGGCTGGGGACGAGTGTCTGCGATTCTGTCAGCCGAGGTCACTGTCTGGGGAGGGTGTGTGACCCGCACAGCACCCCCCGGACACCCTGCCACGGTGCAGGTGGGAGGGGTCCCCACCTGGCTTTGCAGCTCCTATCCCCATCTCCAGCTGGTTTTTATCTTTTTTTTTACTGGTTTATTTTTCATTGTATTTTTTTCATTGCCATTTATCCCCCTTACACCCTCTGCCACCTCCACCCACCCCTTCCCTGGTTTTTATCTTGAGTCCATTTCCTGGAAGTGGAGATGAGGCCTCATTAGCACCCAGCCAGGCCTCTGACATTTGTCTTGATTAATCTCCTGGGCCTGGAAGAGGTCCAGACCCAGAATGACTGGCTGACAAGAGCAGCTTCCTCCCTGATCAGGCCCCAGGTTCTGGGGGAGGGGTGCAGGCCCGCCCAGGACCAGAGCGAGCACAGCGACAACCCTGTGGCACACAGGCTTTTCTCGCACTCACGGCCGCTCGCATCAGCCCCACCCCCCATCCCGGTGGCTCCCTGGGCCTCTGCCCATCATTCCAGGGTCTTGGGGGCCAGGCGGGCTCCCCTCACACTGGGTCCTCCCCCTCATTGTGGAAGCCTGGAGGCACCTCCTTTTGCCCCCTTGGTTTATGACCGAGCCCCCTCTTCCCGAGTCACTGCACCCTGCCCCCCCCCCCCCATGATGCCAAGGGTGCAGGCAGAAGACGGGCATGGGCTGTCCATCGCAGGCCAGGGTGCCTGTGCTCAGGACCCCGACGTGGGGGGCCTGGGGCCCTGGCGTGGGCCGCAGCCTAACGTACAAGTCAGATGAGCAGGGGGATTTCTGAGCGGAGAAGAGACACCTGGAGCGTCTCTCCCAGGGAAAGGCCAGGCCCCTCCCCAGATGGGTCCCCGGTGTGTCCCTTGTGAGTCCCTTACTCCTGGGTCAGGGGACAGGGCAGGTAGACATGTTTGTCTCCCTTGACAGCGGCATACTCTTGCCCTAGTCTGCGCCAGCTGCCTCTTGACCAGCCTGGCGCGCTGGCCTGGCTGCATTTTCACTGTGTAACCTCCGTGTGGACATCACCACTACTGTCTGCTTTGGCCATGCGCCCCCTGGTGGGCCCTCGGCCTCCTGCACGGGCTCCGGCTCCCTCTGGTCGGAGGACGACAGCACCTGTGTGGCCCAACCCTCTGGTCGACCCACACACGCCACACGGGGCTGGCTCACACCTGAACCCCTCTTTGACGGTCTCCTTCCCTTTGATTACTTCTTCACCAGGCGTCACTGTACAGTTTGTAAAGCACTTCCTCGTCTGTCACCCCAGCTCTCGCAGCAGTGGGGGTGTCAGCAGGGCAGGGCCCCGTGCCAGTGGTGCGTCTGTCTGGGGGAGTCTGAGGCAGGGGGGTGCCCTGGGTCTCCTGCTGTGGCACAGGTGGCCGCCATGACTTTCCTGACTTCTCCAGCTGACATAATGGAATCAGACAAAGGCTGGGCGTCCGCACCCACGTCAGGGAAGTCCAGGAAGGAGAAGGCAGCCGGGAAGCTCTACCCTGAATCTGAGGAGGACAGAGAGGCAGCCACTGGCAGCAGGCACCGAGGTACATCCACACGTCCATCCCAGACTGGCTCGGACCGCCCACCCCTATCCCCATCCAGGGAGCTCAAGCTCCTGGGGTCCTGGGAAGGGTCAGAGGCTGCTGCCTCTCCTGGGCAAGCAGGGGAGGGGCTGGGAGGAGTCAGGGCCAAGGAGCAGCAGGTAGAGGAGGCGGGCAGCTGGATGGGCTCCGCCCCCGGGAGATGGGCTCCGCCCCCGGGAGATGGGCTCCGCCCCCGGGAGATGGGCTCCGCCCCCGGGAGATGGGCTCCGCCCCCGGGAGATGTGGGAACAGACTTTGCCCTGCACCTCCCTGGGTGAGGGGACCCCTTCCATGGAGAGGGGTTACAGAGAACCTGAGAGACAGAGGGGCAGGGATATGCAGAGACTGGGAGAGGCTGGGAGAGACCCAAAGACAGAGAGACAGAGATGAAGAGGGGGGACCAGGAGGTTAAAAATGGGCCTGGGACTCAGCGTATCAGAGGAGGGTGCACCAAGACACACCATGAGAGGGGAGGGTGGCTGCAGAGGGTGGGGCCGGAGACAGTGGGACGAGGGGAGGAAAGGAGAGGAGGGGAGAGGCGGGGCTGCGTTGTCCCCGGGGAGGTGAGGAGAGACAAACGCAGAGACCAGGCTGCAGCCACAGGGCCGGTTTGAACCGGCTGGGTGGGCAGGAGATTCCAGATGGGCCACATCTGGGAGGCTGTGGTCACCCTGTGGCTCCCCAGGGACCAGAGGGAATTGTGGGCCTGGCCAGGCGGGGCTGGGAATATGGTGCCCAGGACAGAGAGCCTTTCAGCAGGCCGGGGTGGGTCCAGCCTTCCAGGCCGCCTTCCAGGGTGACTGGAGAGCCCTGTGGTTGGAGCCCTGCAGGCGGAGAGACTGGGACTGGGGGGCGGAACCTGGAAGATTGAGAAGCTGGGGACCCTCCGAGGTCACACAGCATCCCTCCTTCGAGCCCAGAGCCCTTTAGGGGATGTGTCACCCTGTCTGGAATCCCAGTGGACACTTAGATGGCCCTTCCCCCATGAGTCTTCTCTTTCGCTGGTTTCACAGCAGGTGTTCGGGGTGGGCCTTGGACGGTGGTGGGACTGTGGGCCGACATGGTTTCCTCACAGTTCCCAGTGCAGAACCTGAAGTGCAAAGAGGGTGCACACCTGTGTGAAGTCGGCAGCTGTTTGGGAGTCCCGCTGGCCCTGGAAATGAGACCTCCTGCCTCCAGTCCATGGTGCCCAGGCAAAGGGCGTATAGGAAGCATTCTCAGCCGGGGGGTGGAGGGGCTGGCCCGGAAACTTGCCCTTCTCCAGGGACACCTGGAAGGCAGGACTAGGGGCTGAGCCCTCAAGGAGGGCAGGCCTTGGGCTGCATGACCTCGGCAGCTGCCAGCCGCGGGGCCAGGGACAGCTCCTGCGTACAGGGGCTGTGGTAATGCTTTGAGGCCCCCTGTGTACAGGGGCACAGCAGGCAGTAAGGGCTCACACAGTCTCTCCAGAACACTCCAGGCCTGAGTGCTCCAGTCCCGGGGCGCAACTGTCCCTGAGAGAGCCAGCGACTGTCACAGGCGTATTCATCCCTCTGGGTCTCAAACCATGGACTTGACTGGTGTCCCACCCCATCTGTCTGTCTCTGTGGGCACAGGGCGCCCCTGCCTGCCGGAGTGGGACCACATCCTATGCTGGCCGCTGGGGGCACCAGGCGAGGTGGTGGCTGTGCCTTGTCCTGACTATATTTATGACTTCAATCACAAAGGTAAGGGGGCTGGAATAGGCCGGGGACCACAGGTTTACCAGGAGGCCCCGCCCCCCGGGAGCTCGGGGCCTCCGTGGATCCACAACCCTCTCCTGCCCTGACCCTCCCATGGGCCTACAGGCCATGCCTACCGCCGCTGTGACCGCAATGGCAGCTGGGAGCTGGTGCCGGGGCACAACCGGACATGGGCCAACTACAGCGAATGCGTCAAGTTCCTGACCAATGAGACTCGTGAACGGGTGAGAGCCTTCCCTTCCCAACCTGACTGGGATAAGGCCACCCCACGCCATCGGTGACCCCTGACCTAGTCCTGGCTTCCTCAGCAACCTTAGTCTGGCCTCTGACCCTTACCCGGGGTGTCTCCCCACCTGCACAGGAGGTGTTTGACCGCCTGGGCATGATCTACACCGTGGGCTACTCGGTCTCGCTGGCCTCCCTCACCGTGGCTGTGCTCATCCTGGCCTACTTTAGGTGGGCGGGGCAATGGGCGGGGCAGATGTGGGGTGGGCGTGGCGGGCGGCAGGTGGGGTGGGGCCGGGTGTGACGCCCCCTTCCTCTCACTGCGCCCCAACCCCTGCTGGGTGTCCGGACGCCCCGCGCACAGCCGGGCTTCCTGCCCACACACCACGCGTCCCGTGCCCTCACCCACGGTGATGTGGCGCCCCGCAGGCGGCTGCACTGCACTCGCAACTACATCCACATGCACCTGTTCCTGTCCTTCATGCTTCGCGCCGTGAGCATCTTCGTCAAGGACGCGGTGCTCTACTCGGGCTCCACCCTCGATGAAGCCGAGCGCCTCACCGAGGAAGAGCTGCGCGCCATCGCGCAGGCCCCTCCGCCGCCCGCCGCCGCCGCCGCCGGCTACGTGAGTGCGCCCCTCGGCCGCCCAGGCTCGGGGCCCCGGCCACGCCGGCTTCGCGGGAGCCCACCCGGCTGCGCCTGGCACTTGCATCTCGGCCCTCGCCCCTGCCTGTCTCTTGCCACCTCTGGCTTCAGGCCGGTCACCCCACTTCACTGTGTCACCCACACCACTCAGCCCCGCTTCCAGCCCCTACTGACGAGGGCTTTGTGAGTGTCCCCCACACACGGCCCCCCACTCCGGGCCGCGTCATTGGCACTCCTTGTTCACCTTGCTCTCCTGCCCCTGAAAACGTCCCCTGCCCCTCCCCTTGGTGGGAGACCTGGACCGGAGCCTGCCCCTGCCTCAGGCCTGACTAGCCCCGGTTGTCCCGTCCCCGCTGCCGCCCCTCCCCCTTCCCCAGATGCAGGCCCTGCCCTCTGGCTAACACCAGCTGGTCTCCTAGGCTGGCTGCCGAGTGGCTGTGACCTTCTTCCTTTACTTCCTGGCCACCAACTACTACTGGATCCTGGTGGAGGGGCTGTACCTGCACAGCCTCATCTTCATGGCCTTCTTCTCCGAGAAGAAGTACCTGTGGGGATTCACAGTCTTCGGCTGGGGTACGAGGTGTTAGGGGAGAGAACAGGCAGTGTGGGGCCAGGGGTGATGGGGCCAGAGGGGACCGCTAAGGGCAAGACCCCCATACGACGTGTCCTGTCCCCAATGTGGGGTGGCAGGTGGGCACCCTGCCCACCCTTCTGTGACTGTGACCTCTTCCCAGACTCTGGGAACAGAGCTCAGCTGGGTGGGGTTCACCTGGAGCTGGCTCAGCTCGGAGTTGGCTCAGCTTGGAGCTGGGGCTCAGCCCGGCACCGAGGGAGTGGGGACTCTCAGGTCAAGAGTCAGCTCAGGATCGGAGTGGGACCGTGGGTCCGAGGTCAGCCTGAAGCTGGAGTTGGGGTCTGGAACCCTCCTTGCCCCCCAAACCCTGTTTTCCCCCCAATCCCCTCACTGGGTGGCTGCCCACAGGGTCCGTCCATGGCCGGCTCTCAGCTTCAGCAGCCTCTCTGCAGAATGGGTAGCCGGGGCTCTCCTTCCCTGAGGGGGCTCCAAGATCAAGTTACTGATAATTGTCCATTATTGTTGGCAGCTCCAGGGCTTGGCTGGGCTCTGGGCAGCTGGCCAGACTGCAGAGGGCTGGGCCTGGTGGCTGGAGCCCTCCCAGTGCTCGGGACCCAGAGGCCCTCAGATCAACAGCCACAGCCTCTCTGCTCCTTGGCACACGCTCTGACCTTGACCTCACCCATGGCAAGCCCCAAATTGGGGGCAGTTCTAGGCCTGATCTCAGGAACTAAGGAAGGCTCTGGGTCTAGAGGGTGTCAAGGTGGGGGAAACACACTGACTTTGATGTCACAGCTCTTTTTCTGGTCACACACTCAGGTCACTCCCCCCACCCCAAAGGCACTCGGGCCTAGAGTGAAGGGGGAGGGGATGCAGGGTGGGGACCTGGGCTCCCTTTCTAGAGGCAGGGCCCACCCAGATGTACCATGTGCCATCTGAACCGGCTTAGGCCGGGGCACACCAGGGCTCCCCAGGGCCCTTTACCCAGCTGAAACACAACCTTCCCTCCATCCAGCCTCATCCACAGTGGCCAGGACCTTCTAAACTGGGTGGGGAGGTGGGGCTGGGACAGAAAAATGCTGGTAATAGGCTCCCTGCCCCACAGGAAAGCCAGTCCCAGAGCAGCGCCCTCTAGGGGAGCGAAGGAGGAGGAGAAGCCTGCTCAGGGATGTTACTTGACACCTTGTCAACCTGCAGTGTCTTGCGGACACTGACCCGCAGGCGAGACTGTGCCCGTGTAGGAGACGCAGAACCAAGATGAGGGCGGGGGGCCGAGGGACAGCAGGGTGGCGCACGCTGGGGCCCGGCTCTGTCTCCCAGCTGCCCAGGGCGAAGGGTCTGGGACAACGACGGGGCAAGCTGGGCGCCATCAGGAGTGAAGGGAGTGGGACTGGTGGGCCGAGGACAGACACTGTCCCCCTCTGTGCACACAGGTCTGCCCGCCGTCTTCGTGGCCGTGTGGGTCAGTGTGAGGGCCACCCTGGCCAACACCGGGTAGGTCCAGGTGGAGGAGGGGCTGGGTCACACAGGCCAGAAACGCCCCTGGTGACCTCTTCCTCCACGAAGCGTGTGGCGGGGCCTCCTGTACCCCGGCCCTGAGGGGCTCCAGCTCCTGAGATTTTCAGTCCAGCTTTGGGCCAGGTGCCTTCCTCATGGTCACTAGAGGCTGCTTCAAAAGGGGTCTCTGAGGGCAGCCTCACGCCTGGCAAAACCCGAGACCCCCCCTCCCAACCGCGTGTCCCCTGCAGCTCATTTCAGGGTAGACCAGCTCCGGGGCCTCTCTCGTGAGCCCAACCAGGTGGGGCTGGGGGCTGATGCCTCTGCCTCCGGCAGGTGCTGGGACTTGAGCTCCGGGAACAAGAAGTGGATCATCCAGGTGCCCATCCTGGCCTCCATCGTGGTGAGCAGGGGCGGCCCCAGGGCTGGGTGGGGGTGGGCGGTTGCAGAGCCCAGTGATTAGCTGCTGATGGGGATCTGTGGAAGCTTCCTAGACTCCAGGGTCACAGCCACAAGGCCTGGGAAGCAGCCAACACCCGTTCTGGTCCAGAGGGGGAATCTGAGGGCCCGGGGAGTGCCCCCCATGAGAGGCAGAGCAGAGCTGGGCGGGGCCACAGGCCGGCATCCTTGCCCCCACCTAGTGGGACACAGCACGGAGACGCAGTCCTCCCTCACTCCCACAGCTCAACTTCATTCTCTTCATCAACATCGTGCGGGTGCTCGCCACCAAGCTGCGCGAAACCAATGCGGGCCGGTGTGACACTCGGCAGCAGTACCGGTGAGCCAGCCCACTGAGCCCAGGCTCCTCAGAGTTCAGAGGTTGTCCAACACCAGCGCCAAGTACAAAAGCAAAGACGAGCTCCCAAGCGTGAGCCTGTGTCAAGGGAAAGCTCCTGCCCCCCTGGCTGGCCCCACCCTGAAGTGAAGGGATCTCACCCGGCCTCTGCAGGCCCTGGGGGCACGCCGAAGCCAGCCCGGGCCACCCCAGGCAGGCACCGCACTGCAGCTTTGGTTTGCAAGGGCGGGACAAACCCAGACCTCTCTTCAAAGAGCTGGTCACGGGGAGTCCGAGGGACGGGTGGACAGTGGGTGGCTCCAAAAGGTAAGAAGGTGCAGCTCCGCTGAAACCTGAGGAGTGGGCTGTGGGATCACGAGGTGAGGCCGTGGGGGAGTGACAGATGCCAGCAGGGGGACCAAGAGGTACAAAGGACCCTGGGACAGGGGACTGTGTAATTTATGGTCCGCTCCAGGACGCCTCAGAACCAAGAGGCCCTAGCAACACTTTGCTCAGACAACAAGATGTCGTTGTCCCAGGCAAATTGGCTTGCCTGCATGGGTGGCCAGAGCCTCAGGCCCCTCGGGGGCTTTTGGAACTGGGGCTGGCAGGTGGGGGTGGCAGGGAGCCCGTCGGCCCTGACCTGCCTGCCCGCTGGCCCAGGAAGCTGCTCAAATCCACGCTGGTGCTCATGCCGCTCTTCGGCGTCCACTACGTCGTCTTCATGGCCACGCCGTACACCGAGGTCTCAGGGACACTCTGGCAGGTGCAGATGCACTACGAGATGCTCTTCAACTCCTTCCAGGTGCGCAGTGGGCGGGGCCCGGCTGGGGCGGGGCCTGTGCGCCCCGTCTCCGTCTCCCCACACGTGTGGGCGCTGGGCCCTGACCCTCATGCCTTTCTCCACAGGGATTTTTTGTCGCCATCATATACTGTTTCTGCAATGGCGAGGTGAGTGAGCGGCGGGCATGGTGGGGGGTGGGGGTGCAGAGATGCTACCCCGTCCCTCCGTTCTTCTGCCCAGTTCTTCCTTTGTTCCTGCAAGAACGCCCCTGAAGACGTTCTAAGGCAGAGAGAAGTCTTTCCAGGTGGTCCGGACTAGGATGTGCTAGGGGGTGGGCTCGTCATCAGTCTCTGGCACAGCCCGGGGTCTCCGCAGCCCCGTGGCTGGGTACCCCGTAATCCAGCTTGAGCCACTCAGCCACCCTCAGGACCATGTGAGCCTCGAGGGTTCTGGGTGTGCCAACTGCCCGCAGCCAGACACCATGCTCTGAGGATTCAGGGTGCTACTTGGTCTTGGAATTCTCCAGAAACAATCCCTTGCCTCTGTCTCCTCGACCCAGTGCGGAGTGTTGCAGGGGCATGGACGGGGGGCACAGCTGGGTTGGACTGATGGGGCACAGGAGTCAGAGGCACACCTGATGGCCCACCCTGCTCCTGCCACCCCAGGTACAGGCTGAGATCAAGAAGTCCTGGAGCCGCTGGACGCTGGCACTGGATTTCAAGCGCAAAGCACGCAGTGGGAGCAGCAGCTACAGCTACGGCCCGATGGTGTCTCACACCAGTGTGACCAACATCGGCTCCCGCACGGGACTTGGCCTGCCCCTCAGCCCCCGCCTGCTGCCCGCCGCCACTACCAATGGCCACCCACAGCTGCCTGGCCACACCAAGCCAGGGGCCCTGGCCCACCAGGCCCCGCCACCAGCCGTGGCCACTCCCAAGGACGGATTCCTTAATGGCTCCTGCTCAGGGCTGGACGAGGAGGCCTCGGCACCAGAGCGGCCACCGGCCCTGTTGCAGGAGGAGTGGGAGACGGTCATGTGACCGGGGACCCAAGGGTTGGACCTATGGACATAAGGGCGGATGGACGGACCAAGAGACAGGTGGTTGGATGGCTGCCCACTCACGGCTGGGCTGGGAGGGCAAAACAGGAAAAGGAAAAAAAAAAAAGAAAAGGGAAAAGGAAGCAGTGTGTGGCTTCCTGTGGTCACAGCTGGGGACTCGAGTCTCCCTAGGAGGGGAGGGAAGGGGCTGGGAGCCATGGGGGAGGGCTGGACTCGCCCTGCTGGAGGGGGTCTAGCAACCTCAGGCCGGTCCCTGGGGTCAGGGCGCAGTCCAGCACAAAGGGCCCAGGCAAGGCCGCTGTCCGGGCCTAGAGAGGCTTGCCTGCTGTCACAGTGACCGGCGGGCCTGTGCAGGAGCAGACCCCAGGCTTTCCCTGCCACAGCTGCCACCTTGCCTCTCCCCACTCTTGTCCCCAAGCCCCACCCAGACTCCCCGAGGGCGGCTCCCCACCCGGCCCTCACTCAGTGTCTCCTCAGGGCCCACAACAGACCCCTCGGGTCCCTGGCCACAAACCCCAAGCCCGAGGCCCTGCTCCAGGCCCCTTCCTGCCTGTTTGCTGTGTCCCATGGAGGCTGGGACATTCAGGGAGCCCCCTGCATGTGACTCCCAGTCCCCAGCCTGGACCAGAGGGCTCAGGGGAGTGCCAGGGCCACCGAGTGAGAGGTCAGGTGGGGTCTCTGCTGTGGCTCAGCAACTGTCTGACGCCAGAGGCTGGCTGGTGGGATTCTGTGGACCCAAGACGGTCACTAAGCATCCGCCTCCCAACACCTACCACTTTCCTTGGCCCCTGCTCAGCCCAGTCTCAGGCCCTAGAATGGCCTGGGCTGTCCTTGGCCTGATCTCCAGGCACTGACCCTACTGCGTCGCGTGTGCTCTGACCAGACCCTTCCCACTGGGGCCTGGAGATGACCCCACCCCTGGGCCTGTGCGCAAGCCGGTGCCCCAGCCTGGCCCAGCATTTCCCTCATTTCCAGCTCAGACCAACCTGTCCTCCTCCATGGGCTCAGCAACAGGGAGTGCTCCCCGCCTCCAACAGCACCCCCTGTGGGGGCTGGGCAAGGGGTCACGGGGCCAGGACCACGAACTTACTTTGGCGCTGGGCACGCTGAGCGGCCTCAGGCTCAGCCCCGCCTGACCATCCAGGTGGTGGGTGGGGCAAACCACTGCCCAGGCCTGGCTCCAGCTGCGGAGGGACCTGCAGGCCACTGAGCCGACTGAGCTGAATGTGGAGGACACCCGTAACCTTGGGGGTCCTAGAGGGAGAGTGACAGTGGGAAGAGTGCCTGTTCTGACACGCAGGCCAGAGGGGGTCCCAGGGTCAGGGGCAGCAGGTAGCCAGGCAGGGAGGTGCTGTTGTCAGGAAGGACCCTGGATGGGGCATGGCTGGAAAAAGGAGGGGTGCAGGACAGACCCCAAGCCCCTGCAGGAGGGGGGTTGATGCCCTTCTCCAGGGCTCAGCACACAGGACCTCCAGACCCTGGGCCTTCAGGCTGGCCCCTCAGGAGGAGGCTTCTGGAGTGGAGTCCATGAGGCCCACTCACCTGGAACACTCCGACCGGGCCCCCCAGGACAGGTTAGCCCCTCCCCATAGACTGGGGAGCTTCCTGCATGACAGGGCTGTGCTCACCCCTTGAACTTATGACCCCTTTCCCTTCAGATGGACCCCCAAATAGGGCCATGCTTCTCCTTCAGACTAAGTGTCCCCAGGACGTGCTGTGCTCAGGTGTCCTCAGGCAGGACCAGGCCTCCCCGTTAGGCTGGGCACCACTGTCCCCCTGGACTGGCCGCCCAGGACAGGCCAGGACCCGTTACAGCAGTCCAGTCCCCCAGGCCAGGGCCAGAGCCAGGGCCTCCCCACTCAGGCCCCTGAGCCTCGCCCGGGCCAGCTAGGTGTTGGCAGAGGAAGTGTGAGCCCTCAGTGGGCCTGGCGAGCAGTCAGGCCCGTTTGCCTTGAGCAGGGGCTGGAGCCAGGTGGTCACTTCTCCCTTCAAGGCCTCACGTCCCAGCCAAGCCACAGGGAACACACCAACGCCCTTGAGCCCAGTGGCAGGCAGGCAGGCAGGGAAGGGGGTGCCAAGAGACCCCGACTGCTCAGCCTCCTTGGCCAGTGTCTGGCCACCTCATGGGCTGCCTGGACTCCAAGTCGGGCCAGGAAGGTGGCCTCCAGCTCCCACCTGTCTGGGGCGTGCGGGCGGGCCCTTTGTCCTGTCTCACTCAGCCCAGGCTGGGAGAGGGTCCTCCTGGGGTCCCCGGAACTCAGGCCAGGCTTTGGGGCAGGCTGGCTAAGTTCATCGCTCCCAGCTTAGAATGGGGTCTGGGGGTCCGGGGTCATCGAAGAAACAGCTCTGTCCATCCTCAACCTGCAAGTGTTTTGAGGACAAAGCTGGATGGAGCGGGGTCCACACCCCACCCACGGTGGGCAGGGTGACAGTCCACACCTTCGTCTTCACCCAGGGAGGCGGTCAGAGAGGGAAGAGGGGACTGGGTTCTCTGGGAGTTCAAAGGGGCAAGACCCTGCCCAAGAGTCCAAAGACACCGCCCTGCTCTCAGGATGTGAGGGGCCATGAGCCTGACCTGCCATGGGCAGGGGGTGGGTGGGGGGTGTTGGGGGCGGGGCTAAGGCCTGAGGGGCCCTGGCTCTGCCTTGATTGTTAGAAAACAGTCCTGGCTTCGGGGACCCCGGGTAGGTGGTGTGGGGTGAGGCTTGTGGGCACAGAGGCTGGGGTGGGTCCAGGGGCCTGTCCCTGACGCCGCCTCAGCCAGCGCCAGGGGACGGATGCCAGTCCGAGGCTCCCGTGGCCAACAGAAACAAGCCTTGGCTGGGGTGAGGGAGTGGGGGGTGACTCCAAAGCCAGGCAGGGGCGCGGGCGCTGGCTGACTGGCTTCTCATGTGCTGTGTGGTCCTGGCCCAGCAGCCTTCCCTCTCTGAGCCTCTCAGCTCCTCCTCTGAGGTCAGCCTGTCCAGGTCTCCCAGGTGTAAGCTCAGTGCCCCACCCACTCCCTGGGGGCCTGGAGGACCCAAGGCCAGGACATCCCCAAGTAACAGGCCCCCTCCTGCACTGGCCTCACAGTCGTGCAGGTGGCTGGGCTGAAAGGCGGTGGGTGTGGATTCTGTGCAGCTCCTCCGATGCAAGGCCTGGGGGGCGGGGGGCAGAAGTTGACTGCAGACCTACAGCTGTCCCCTCTGGCCTCAGGCTTCCGTCGGCGGGGGTGGGGCCCCTTCATGTGTCAGCATTAATTATGCACCTGCTGTGCAGGCACTGCACTCCTAGGGCCAGTGTTACTGGGGGGCAGAGGCGGGTTTCCACCCCCGCACGAGCATCCCGATCAGAAGGCCTTTCGCAGTTCTCCAACAGGACCTCTGTGGGGATTGGGGGCGTCACCAGCCCTGTGGCTCAGGGGGGCACTCAGCAGGTAAGCAGCACCCACCCCAAGGGGCTCCTGCTGGCTTTGCTCCCCGGTGGCCAGGAGGCAGCCAGGCTGGTTCTGGGCACGGGAGAGTGGGCTTGTGGCCACCCCAGCTGCCTTTCCAGGGCTTCAGAACCCGGGGTCCTGACCCTGCCCAACCCTGGCACTCGAGGACTTTCACCCACCTCTCCGCTGCCCGCGCAGTCCCCGCAGTCGTGCCTAGTCAGCGGGTCCCTTCTGGGGGCCGTCTGCCCAGCACCCCTCCCTGCTGCAGCGCACGGCAGTCAGGACAGCCCGGTGTGAACCTCAGTGCCCCGGCCCTGCCCCGGCACCAGCAAGCTCACCCGCACCAGCGAGAGGGCTGAGGTGCGCTCGTCTGCTCCTGTGTGTGCCTAGCCGCCTGTGTCTATGTGTCTGTGGTGTCAGTTCGTGGTTCTGTTGTGTACATACCTGTCGCATGTTTGCACATGTACCCACGTCTGCTGGCATTCCACTTGTGTGTGACTGCACTGTGTGTGCCAGTGTCCAGTTGTTTGTTTGCACGTCTGTGTGTGTCCATGCCGACCCGTGGTCTGAGAACGCCGCCTGTGGGTGGAATTTGGCCCAGACACGTGTTTGGTTTGGCTCTCACAGTATTTTCAACATCCTGAGCCAACATTTAAAAATCAGGATATTTCACATAAAAATTCAGCTTTCCAGTTTCTCTTAAAAATTCAGAAGCCCTGGCAGCCGTGGCCCGCACTCCCATGAGGCCACTCTCCCACAGAGCCGCTCGGGCGCTGCCTCGCCAGCAGTGTCTTGGGGACGCCTGGGGGTGTGACCCAGGGTGTGCCGGTATTTGTGCGAGTGTGACCTTGGCCTGCACGGGGGGAGGTGTCTGTGGGGGCCTGTGCGTATGCGTGTGTGCACAGCGTGTGCACAGGGTGTGAGGCCGTACCCGGGACCACGTGGAGTGTGTGGGCCACTGCGGCGGCCTGGCACGCTCTGCACAGGGGCCTCTTCCGGTCTTTGAGGGGGGATTGAATTCCCGGCTCCTGGCTGGGCTGCCTTGTGGGATTTATTTCTGTCTTGGTGCCCACAGGAGGCCTGAGTAATGGGAACATTTAAAGAAAACCAGTAACTACATAAAGAAGGGGCAGGCTGGCCGGGAAACTCAGCCCAACACCCCTGCCCAGCCCATGGCACCCCGAGGCCCGAGCTGGGGAGGGAGGCAGCCCGAGGGCCCGGCAGGGACACCCTCGCCACTCAGAGTCACCCACTTCCATCTGTCCAGGCCCATTTGGTGGGTGACCCCCTGCACCTGGATGGCCCCTGGGTCAAAAACAGGCATCTTGGAGGCCCACAGCTGAGAGGACCAGATCTTCCAGGTGGCGGCTTTCCCAGCCAGGCCACCGCGGGTGCACGTCCCAGACCACTCCATCCACACACACGTCACGCATGAGTCTGCAGGAGAGGAGGGGCGGGGCTGCCTGTGACCTGGCAGGGCTGATGCTGTCCCCGGGCTAGGGAGGGCACTCAAGACACCCCACCAGGAGTGCCCGAGGACAGCCAGCATGAGTGCAGCAGGGGCTGCTGCTGCCGCTGCCGCCAGAACATGGCCCCCCACTGTGCTGTGTTTGGGTTGACTGAGTTCCACTCTTGGGATCAGATCTGATACCAGCCACTCACATGTTACAGGCCCTGTGGGAAAGGACAAAGGCGCCTTCTCTGGTGGGGTGACCTGCGTCACACAAGCCTCACTTCAGCTGCGGGGGGGGGGGGGAAAGCGGGCTGCGCTGACCCACACTCGCCTTCAGGGGCCCAGGGTCTGTGTCTCCTGCTGCCCCCCAGTGGCCGTGTGAGGACAGTGGGGAACTAAAGGTTGCACGGAGATTCTGGTCCAGGCAGTCAGGCTGCGCCCACCGGCTGGGCCCTTCCTCAGGCGCCAGACCCCCCCTACTCGCTCTGCCACGAAGGTCCAGCCAGAAGGTTCTGGGGCGAGGTCTTCAGACTGGCCTGAGGGGGCATCTTGGCTCCCTGCACAGATCCTGAGACCTCCTGGAAGACAACCGGGAAGACCGGCTGACTCGGGGAGGGCAGGGGGTCATGGTCAGAGTCCCGGCTGCATCACGGCCCCCGGCACAGCGCCCACACAAGGCAGGCACTCAGGAAACCAGGTGAATGCATGCTGAGCCCCAGCCGCTGCAGGGCGGACAGGGCTGTGGCAGGCCTGGGACGTGGCTCAGAAGCCCTTGGAGAGGCCACCTGAAGGTGTGCAGGCATCTCGCACACCAGAGCCTAGAAGGTGGTGAGCAGCAGCATGGGACCCCAACAGAGGACTTGGCCAGGAAGATGCCTGGCGCTCGGGTTGGACAGAGTGCAGGGGAGATTTGCCCAAACCGGCCACCTTCACACACCTGATATGCAGCCCGCTGGGCCAGACCCAGTTTTTCCCTGTGACTGTGGGGGCTGTGCCTCAATCTGATCCCAAGTCTGCTGGCCCTCACTGTGGTACCAGCCCTGCAGCCCCAGCTGCCTTCCTCCCAGCCCTCTGGGTGCCTCCCTCTCACCCAGAGCACCAAGCCTGGGCCACTGGGCTAGCAGGCCCTGTCCTCCTACCCGCTGCTGGGGAAGGGGCGGCCACACTGCTGCAGAACATTCCAGGCCTGACACCTCTCCTCCAATGACCCAGAGGCCAGATGTTGTCGATTTCAAGCAGGAGGGGCCGGGAGTGTTGGAATGTTAGGGCTGTCCTGGAGAGCTGTGGGGAGCACTGGGGAGCAGTGGGCACCCTAGGACCCCATCCACAGAGCTGGGCGCTGCCCTTCCCTGGCTTGTTTCCTCAGCCTTAGGATGAAGGGGCTGCTAGGGTCAGAGAGTCTTCCATCTGTCCCTCTCACCAAGGCCAGGACTCACTGTGACCAACTCTAAACTACCGCAATCTGATCTTCCGCCAAGACTCCAGAAAGCTTGTCATCTTTTTGAACACAGAAAGCATACTTAAAATTTTTTTTTACATTTTAGCCCTGGCTGGTGTGGCCCAGTGGGTTGAGTGCCAGCCTGAGAACCAAAGGGTCCCTGATTTGATTCCCAGTCAGGGCACATGCCTGGGTTGTAGGCCAGGCCCCAGCTGGAGCAATGTGAGAAGCAACCACACAATGATGCTTCTCTCCCTCTCTTTCCCCTTCCCTTCCCCTCTCTAAAAATAAATAAAATCTTTAAATATGAGATTTCATGGGGTGCTGTTCTAAGCTTAAAAAAAGAAACTGCCAAACTTATTTCCCAGAGTAACTACCATTTACAGTCTCATCAACAATGTATGAGTTTCCAGCTTCTCCACGTCCTTGCCAGCATTTACTATTTAAGCTATTCTAATAGGTATATAATTATCAGCATGGTTTTAATCTGCATTTCCCTAATAGCTACTTATGCCGAGTATCCTTCATGTGTCTGCCATTTATATCCTCTTTGGTAAAATTATCTTCATGTCCTCTGCCTATTTTCTAATTGAAGTTTCTTTTGAGTTTTGAGAACATAATTCCTTGTTATGTTCCAGCTAGGAGTCCTTTATCAGATACAGCATTTGCAAATACTTTCTCAGTCCATAGCTTTTCTCTTCCTTCCCTTAGGACTTTATCAGAGCATCGACTTTCCATTTTGGCTAAGTCAAATTTCTCTAAGTCAAATTTGGCTAAGCCAAAAAAAATTCCTTTTTATGGATTGTGCTTTTGGTCTTGGGCCACAAGGACTCTTTACCAAGCTCTGGGTCCTGCCGGTTTTCTCCTAGGAGTTGTCAGTTTCACAGCTGCACTTGAATCTGTGGCCCACTTCAAGTTTGTCTCAGGTCTGAGGTTTTGGTGGCGGTTCCTCTCTTGGCCATGGCTACCCAGTCACTCTGGCAGGAAGACTCCACTCCCTCCTGAGCTCATTTTGCACCTCTGTCAGAAATCGGTGGGCCTTTCTCAGGAGTGGCTGCCTCGGACTTCCCCGCTCTTTTCCACTGGTCTATGTGCCCCTTTCCACCAATAATGCCAAACTGGTTACCGTAGCTTCCTAAGTCTTGAGACAGCTAATGATGCCCCATTCTTCCTTCTAGTTAAAATTTAAGTTATTCTAATTCTTTGGCTTTTCCTGATACATTTTAGAGTAATTTTGTGTATACATAAAGATCTCACTGGGATTTTGACGGGAAATATGTTGTCCGTATATTAATCCTCCAGTAAAATCACTGGGCTTGGAGATTTTTTTCCAGGGGTTTTTAAATTATGAATTCAGTATGTTTAATACTTACAGAGGGAAGCAAATTTCATCTTGGGTTAACTGTGGCAGCCTGTGCTTTTGAAGCAATTGGTTCGTCTCACCAATTTGTCACATTCATGTGGACAGTTATTTGGAATATCCCCTTACTGTCCTTTTGGTGTCTGTAGTTATAGCCTTATTTCATTCCTAATATTTGTATCTTTTTTAAACCTTGGTCTTGCTAGAGGTCAATCAGTGGGACTTTTGCAGTGTTGACCACTTTCTTTGCTGGTCAACACTGGTTTCACTGCCGGCTGCCTTCCCAGGAGTCTCTCTGTTCTTCCTTTTTCCTGGAGCCCCCATCCCAATCACGGCGGCCATGCGCCCCTGCGTGTCTGCAGTCAGGGGCAGATCTGACTGCGTGTGACAGCCAGCCTGCGGACTGGGCCGGAAGCCATGGGTTCCTCAGCTGGCCTGTCCTCTGCCTTGCCCCTTCTATCCACAGCTCAAACCTTGGGGTGCAAAGGCTCCTAGGGGAGTGAAGGAGGGCAGCTGGGGAGACATCTGGAGGCCCCAAGGAGCCACTGTACCCCCTCAGACTGAACCCAAGTCCAGGAAACCGTCCTTGCTGAAGTTCCTGTAGGAGTGTCCGCCAACCGCAGCCCTGCCCCCACACCCCTCTCCCCAGCGCCCCCGCCACCTGTCTTGCTGTGGAGCATCCTGAGCAGGCCCTTCGGCGAGGGGCGAGGATCAGGGCGAGGATCAGGGCAAGGATCGGAGCGCAGTAAGTGGCCTGAGCCCTGAGTGTCTCCCCGGCTCTTCCTGTAATTACTGTGACTGAAACACATGGGCATTTGTTTCCTTAGCACTTAGGAGAAATTTATCTCCTAATCTCCATTGTTAATGAGAAGTGAAACTCATTCATTTGTAGGTAAACTTTCTTCCCCCATGGAGCCTGCATGATTTTTTTTAATGTTCTAAGTAGACTACGAATTTCCAACCACGTGCCACAAGAATTTTTAAAACAGGCAATACCTGCCTGTTCAGTCAGGGGCAATGAACTCTTTTCCCTTAGATGGTCAAATAAAAAAAAAACCAACAACACCCAATACAACAACAGCGTCTGGTGTGAATGAATCAAAATTACATTTTTTTTTTTGTCACAGAACTTGAGTAGTGTGTGTGTCATGAGGTGAAAAAGGCCGAAAATCACCGATTTACACCATCTAGCAAAACTGCAGATATGGCCATTTAAAAAAACACCGCTGCACTTAATTTAGGTTGTAAATGCTGCAAATTTATTTTTTAAGCTGTGGGAAGTACAGCCTATGTACAGAAGGAAAAGTGTGTAAAATGAGCACATGGAGAATGAAGTGGGTCCCCATCACTGGAGCCAAGCAGCAGCCCATCGGCAGCCCCGCAGGCCCGACGCGGAAGCCGGCAGCCCGCTGTCCTGCTGACTTCTCCGTCAGGGTGTGTCTGTCCTCGGAGAGTCTGTCTCCTTCGTCTGTTTCGGGGCATCATCGAGTGGCACACACTCTGTTTCTCTTGTGACTTGCTTCTTTCGAGGTCCCTTACGCTGCACGTGGTTCTGGCTTGTTTCACGGCTGCAGAGCATGACGCTAAGAACTGACCGACGACCATGCCTGTGCTGTGTGTGGGTGTGGGCTGGCTGCTCTTTAGGGCACTGGCTTTTCCCACGTGCTTTGTAATTTGTTTGCACGCAAGTCACGTGTGGCGAGTCTTGCTTTCCTCACTCCCTGGGAGGCCGTCTTCCTTTAGGGCACAAAGGGTAATAAACGTGTGGCCGCAAACCCTCCATCCGTACTCTGGGCTCCAACTGCAGTATCCTGACTCCAGTCCTGGAGCTGGTGCTGCACGGGCAGCTGGCTGGTAGTTGCCAGGTGTCTGAGTCCTACATGGCCACAGACAAGCATCCTGCTTACAACCGCACCTGCAGGAGGTGGCGGCACCATCATCCCTCACTCCTCGGAAAGGGAGCCTGGCTCCAGTCCTGGCCCCTGTGGGAGTCACAGTCCTGGGCTTGTCCCCCTGCTCACTGCCTCAGCCCTCACTCACAGCCGCTAGGTGCTGCTCCTCTTCTCCACGAGAATTACGTTCTCAGAAGTGGCTACGTAATTTTAACTTCAAGCATTTGATGGACTGTGTTTGGGGGTGGGTCTCTGTGTGCACACGCACATTCCGCCTCTGCCGCCCAAGGCCTCGGCACTGACCACCACAGCCCGTGACCTGGGTTCCCAGGAGTCAGCACAGGGGAAGGACATGCTGGGCCAGTGCAGGGTGGGCAGCAGGCTCCAGGAAAACCCTGAAGGAACCTCAAGCGTGTTAACGTTCTAGAGGAGGTGACTCTCCAGTTGGCCACAGGTCCCTGGAGTCCCAGTTGTGGCCAGCCAGTCACTCCGGAGAGTCAGCTCCACAGAGGAGGCTCAGGACCTGTGGGCCCAGGGCCCCAAAGCGCACCCAAAACTCAGCCCACACCACCTCGCTCTCTAGCAGAACGGCCCCTCCCCGCCCCAACGCAGGGGCCCTGTCCCGGGGAAGCCACAGCCGAGCTCTGCTGGGTGCAGTGGGGAAGAGGGCCGTGCCCTGGGCCTCCTGGCTGGAGCAGCCCAGATGGAGGCTGCCAGGGCACGGCTCCCCGGCTCCGCGGGCGTGGTCTCCTCCCCTATCTCACACTGGGAGGGTCCGCAGACCAGGGCAGGGGGCCTCCCCACGCTGTCCCACAGAATCCGGCAGGACTAGCCCTGGGCAGGTCTTATGAGGACTCTCTCGGACGCTGTCTCTGTCACTCAAGAGTTCTGAGGTGACTACCAGCGACCAAAGACTGGGCCTGAAAGGTCGGCCTCAGTATGCTCAGTCCCACACAGGGCTCACTCATAGTCAGCATCACCTCTACAGCACCCCGACCAGGGGCCTGGACCCACAGCACCCCGCAGACCCAGGAAATACCCGGCCACACACGGGGGTCTGCTTGCCTCTTTTTCCAGAACTAAAAAATAAAGTTTGTAACACATGATTCATATTCACAGACAGCATAGGCCTGCAGACCTGCTGCTGCCCCCACTGAGTGGTGGTTCTGTCCCTACTCAGGTGGCAGGGACCACTCAGAGGGCGAGGAGCTGACCTCACCCCAAGCGGGGCTCAGACTGATGGTACCCGAGTCGCTACTCTGAAGATGAACTGGAAGAGACGGCAGGCTTGGCCCTGCCCTTGTCCAAGACTGTCCTCCTCCAGCGCAGGCCAGGCGGGCAGGCGTGGGGACAGGGCAGGCCTCAGTCAGAGTCGCAGGCCTCCTGCCCGGTGGTGGCCTCCACTGCCGAGGCCAGGTTGTCCTCCTGGCCTTTCAACCTCTCACCTAGAGGGACAGCAGAAAGGAGGGGTGGGCAGGGGGCCTGGGCCTGGGCCTGGGCCCCCACCCAGAGGGCTGGGACCTCGCCAGGCCAGGCCCTGCACTTACGGATCAGCTCGGCGATGGCCCTCTGGGTCCGCTTCTCTAGTTTCTCCAGCTTCTTGGCTACGTCTCTCTTGAGGTCCCTACAGCAGGGAGGCGGTAGGAGGCCAGAGGTTGAGGGCCAGCCCTGCCCTGCCCATAGCCCCAGGGCATCAGGAATCACACTTGGCTGTCTGAATGGACAAGCTGTCCTGGGACGGAGGCCAGGCTGCCTCTCTCTCTTCATTCTGCATGCCCCAAACTCAGTCCCAGTGAGGCTGGAACTAGCCCTGCAGACCCACCCCACACAGGGGACCGAGTCCAGGTGTACGAGCATGGACGGTTTCTCAGGGGACCCCCTAGACACCGGCAGGGAGTGGCCTGCCCGGTCCACTGCTCCCCCTGCAGCCACTGGTCGCTTGCCCACCAGGAGCTTCCCGATGTGCACACACAGCCCAGCCTCCAGGCCCCGGGTTTCCTAGGACATGGGCCCGGAGCTTCTGTTTCATCAAATTCTAATGCTTTCCTTGGTGCTGTGCTGGACAGACTTACAGACAGAGGCCCGGGGCCCCTACCTCTGGCCCAAGGCAAGGCCCAGGCTACACACCCCCCTCTCACCCCTTCCTCAGCCCAGTCTCAGGGGCACTGGGGAAGGTTGAGCACCCTCAGTTCAGAGGGGAAGCTGCGGCCACAAGGGGCACGTGTGGGGCACAAACCACCATTCCCCGACCCTGTAGCCACTTCAGGCAAAGTTGGCTTTGCCCAAAGTCGGCTTTGCCCAAAGTCAGGCAGCTCCCCCTCTCCTTGAGGGTACCGTTGCCCCCACCCCACCTGAGCCCACCCCAGCTCCAGGCCACACCCCGTCACCTTCCTCTCACTCTCCCTTTCTGTCCCCCTCAGCACTCACTTTGGACAGCAGTGAGTGACCTGTGCAGCTGTGTGCCTCTGCTGTCCGTCTCCCCGCTGTGGGGTGCACAGGCCCAGGCCGGGCCGATGCCTGGCACCAGGAGCACCCCCCAGCACCCCCCACCACCGGCCCCACACAGCGACACTCACCAATCAGGCTTCCGGGGTGCAAGGTTGGCCAGGTCCTGGGGAGGGAGGAGACACGTGTCGACCAGAGGGGCAAGAACCAAAGGAAGTCAGAAGACAGGGGGCAGAGGTAGGAAGGAAGAGGGAACGCAGGGAGGTGGAGAGGAAAAACAGATGCAGTGAGAAGGGCGGGGGAGGACGGCAGCTAGGGAAGGAGGAGGAGGGAGCCACAGGAGCAGTGAGAGTGGCCCCGCCAGGCACTCACCACTTCCTCGATGATGGGCTCCGGCTTGGCAGCCTCCAGCTGCTCCTTCACCTTCTCTTCCACTAGAGGGTGCAAGACAACCACGGAGGCCTGTTGGAGAGCCCTACCACTCTCCCTGGACTCTACACACTGCAGCCACAGCAGAGGAAGGGGGTGCAGGCAGGTCCTCCGGAGACCCTGGGCTCTCTTGTCCCCACCTCTCCCGGTGGCCCCCAGCCAGCAGCAGGCTGCCAGCTGACTAGCCAGAGCCCAGACTCCCTAGTCCCACAGCCGTGAAACGAGAGGGTGCGTCCAAAGTGTGGTCCTGTGCGGGGCCTGGACGGTGAACCATTCCCACCACCGCCAGGGGCTCCTGGGCTCTGAGGGCATCCTCTGGGCCCTCGAATGGCTGGGGCACAGCCACTTGGAGACAACCTGCCCTCAGGCATGTCCCAGCTGCTGACACACAGCGGGAGGGCCGGCCACTGCGGGTACAGACCCTGGGAGCACCAACACCCTGCAGCCCCAGTGCTGATCCTGAGCCCCTGCACCCACCCTAGTGGGGCTCAAAACACCTGGGACACACATTGGAATTTCAGGGGCAAAGGAGATGAGGAAGCAGACTGGGGTGCGGTTGAATGGGCAACACTTTACTGTTCTGCAAGATAACTATTCACTTGTTACTCATCTAATTAAAAACTGACAGCAGAAACGAAGAACAAAAAGAGCCAGGGGTCTGAATGTGAATGATAGCACCCCAACAGCTCCAAAACGCCGCCACTGGCCGGACGCTCCTGGCTGCCGTGCTGCTCCCCGCCCCTTGAGGGCCCCGCCCCCACCACAAGGACACCCCCACGCGGGTCTGTGTGCTCTGACACTGCCTCACCTCCACCTGGCAGGTGGCCGGTCGCCTTCCCACTGTTCTCTGAGCACCCAAACGGCCCCCTGTCAGGGTTTCTCAGTCTGACCTGACAAGGGCCCCCGAACCACTGCCACTTCTCAGCCCCGTGGGTCCCTCTGAGACATGGCCTCTCCCCGCCCCGCCCCTGGAAGGCCTCCCGTCGGGCTGTGAGCAGCGTGGAGCAGGCACAACCCGCACGCAGGCCTCCTTCTTAGCGCCCTGACTGCCCCCCAGTCACCCAACACTGACTACTTGCGCATCTGCCAGAAGATGATGACGAGGGTCACAGAGGCCCAACGTGCAGCCGGGCACTGCTAGTCAGTTATTCTCTAAGAGAGGGCAACACCTCTCAAGGTGAGGCAGCTGACAGCGGCCACCGAGCAGGGAGGCAGAGTCTCAGCTGACCCACCTGCAACTGGCTTGGCCTGAGGCACCCTCCTCTTCTTCAGGGCCTCATCCTCGGGGACGTAGTTCCGCAGCCTGAGCTCCCTACGGAAGCAGAGGACAAGCAGAGATGGAGTAAACGTGTGACAGTCTCGGTCACCACACACACACACACACACACACACACACACACACACACACACAGGTCAGACTGCACAGGATGACCCCACAGCAGGGGGTGGGAGGGTGGGGGAGGGGGGTGGGGATGATCCTGCCTGATAAGGGAGGAGAGAGCCACTGGGTCAGACCATCTAGGTGCTAGGGGTGGCAGAAGGGGCCCCCCACCAGCCGGGCCAGCCAGGTGAGATGGCAATGTGGGTCCTACTCCTTCCCCACCACCTCTTCCGAGCCCTCCCGAGGACTGCTGCCCCTCAGAAGTCCTAGGCTTCCAGGACAGGGGACATTTTCCCAACAGGAGGCCTCCCACAGTCTTATCTACCAAACCTTCTCTCCGTGCCGGGCCACCAAAGGGTTGCTGCCTTTCCAGGAGAGAGGCATCAGGTGTCTGCAACCTCACAGACAGCAAGTAGCAGCAATCTGGACTTGGGGACTTTCCAATGTCAAGTTTAGGCCCCTACTCACCAGCACCGCCTGCCTCTTCCCCTCTGCTAGGGCCCCTGAGGCCACAGCCCTGAGGCTAGGCTGAACTTTTGTGCCCTGGGGGGGAGGCACCAGCCTGGCTTATAGAGGAGGCCTGCCACCCACTCTAAGGAGCAGGGACACCCATCCTGTGTCCCAGCCACCCATGCCTGCTCAGGCCCCAGGTCAACATCAGGCCACAGTGGGGCGTGATCTGTACCCAGACCTTCCTTCAGGGTAGGGCAAAAAGCAGAAGGGAAACTGGGTGTGGGAAACCGCCAGGATTGGTGAGGGAAACAAACTGTCACTCTCAAACTGGCTCCAGGGTTCTGTGAAAAATCAATATGGAAGGAGAGTCGATGGGAACTGCCCCCAGGACTCACAGCCGCAAGTACCCACGCCCCTACCCTGCCCTGGGAAGGCACAGCACAGGGGCATAGGGAGACCCAGAAGCAGCTGGAGAGCCACCCAGCAGCCCCAGCAGCCCACTGTCCCCACTCCCCCTAGAGCTGAGCACTGGTCAAGCAATCGAGAACACCGGTCCGGCTCACCGTGGGACTGTCCCATTCTACGCCTCAGTTCCCACCTCTGGGTGTCAGGTCCGTCAAGCTCGGCTCAAGGCCTCCCAGACTCACTCTGCGAGAGCTGATGAAGAGACAGCCTCCCACCCCCAGCTCTGCCAAAGGGCAAGACTTCTGGGAAACGGCCTTTCCCATGCAGGAGCATGGTTCAGCCCCTCCGCCCTCTGCAAACAACTTAAACAAACCTGAGAACAGAGCAGGGTGGGCAACAGTATGTTCAGAGTTGTGAGTACGCCAAACACAGAGTTCATTCTTGCATTACCACTTCTTTATTAATTACTGTATGGTTTGCTTTCTCATTATTATTATCATTTCGTGCCCTTACGATTTACCTTTCAGGTGATGATGGCTGGTAACTTAACCCAGGGGCCCCCAACTTTCCTGGCACCATGACACCAGTTTCATGGAAGACACGGTGGAGGCTTCGCTTGCTCGCTGCTCACCTCCTGTGGTGTGGGCCGTTCCTAACAAGCCATGGACCCAACTTAACCAATGAGCACTGCAAGGGGATACTTAACCCTCCTTTGGCCCACCTCTGTATACTTTTTAAAAATCTGTATGTTGGCCCTGGAGAAGTACCAAGGCAACAACGATGTGAGAGGCTGCAATCACAGAGGTTCATGGATAGTGTGACAGTGGACAACTCTTTCCCCTTAAAGCATCTGTTGACAAGCAGAACCCCCTGCAACCCCAGGTGCTGAAGAGACTGAAGTCTGCTCAAGGCAGCCAAGAAGCAGGGCCGGGCAACCCCCAGGCTTTCTGCTATGACCCATCCCCAGCACAGACCGCACACAGCTCAACACTGGAGGCCGCCTCAACCTAAGGGGGGCACTGGTGCAAGAAGGCCTCTTCCTCAGTCCCAAGGGGACAGGTCAGGGCACCCCCAGCCCAGCTGCCTGCCAGAGGCTGGAATAAATTCTCTCTGAAGGAAAACCAATGATCCAGAACCTCCAATTATCTCTAGAACCTCTCACACCGAATATCCAGGGTTCGATCAAAGCCATGAGAAAAAATAAAGAACACAAATGCACTCACAGGAGATCCAGGTGTTGCAATGATCAAAAATGAAAGGTAAGCCCTGGCTGCTGTAGCTCAGTGGATTGAGTGTGGGCCTGTGAACCACACATCATGGTTGAATTCCCAGTCAGGGCACATGCCTGGGTTGCAGGCCAGTTCCCAGCAGGGGACGCACAAGAAGCAACCATACATTGATATTTCTTTCCCTCTCTCCTTCCCTTCCCCTCTAAAGATAAATAAATAAATAAATCTTTTTAAAATAACTGAAATTAATACCAGTTCAGGAAGGTAAACCACAAAACAGAGAACTTCAGCAGAGAATCCAAAGCTATAAAAATCAGATGGGAATCACTGACCAACTCAGTAAGTGGGCTTAACAGCAGTTTGGACACGAGTGACGGAAGGATCAGCGAACTGCAACGTAAGACAGGCCAGAAAACGTGCAGACTGAGGCACAGAGGAAGAAAAGTCAGAAAAATCAGAAAAGAGCATCAGGGACACCTGCAACCAGGTAAAAAGACCTAGCACACGTGTAATTAGTCCCGGAAACAGAAATTAGAGAGACGATAACCAAGAATCTTTCTGTAAAGTCAATGGAAACCACCACGCCACAGAGCAAAGCAACACCACAAACCCCACAGCACAGCAGGCCTAGGCAGATGCCTGTCCGCTACTGAGCCCAGCAACGGAGAAATCCTTACAGCAGACCGACGCCCAAGCAGAAACAGACAGGCAGCTGACTTCGCAACAGAAGCAATGGAACCATAAATCTAGTTAAAAGGCCTTCAGTGAAAGACTTTTCCAGACTCGAAAAGGTGGGGAAAATGAGCCATCAGAGGGCCCATTCCTCAAGAGCCAACGAAGGGAGCGCTTAGAGTCTGAAGGGAGTGAGCTCAGAGGGACACCCAGGGGGCAGGACCCTGCCCTTTACACCCAAGGCTCTGACCACTCACAGCCCTCTCCACGCAGGCAGCCACTGCCTGAGGTGGGCCTGGCCATCTCTCCCACAGACGGCAGCCACCGCAGCCACCTGCACTCTCTCTCCCTCTGACCCAGGGTCCCCAGTGTCCCCAAAGCAAGTCTGAACTCCTTAACCCAGTCCTGGTATCGCCTGTCATCAGTCCCCACAGCCTGCTTTCTGATCGAATGTGCCCCCTGGGTTACTGCCAGCCTTATTTGCTACACATTCTCCTGCCTTCCCATGTCAGGAGCTAATCCAACCAGATGTCACCATGAGCAGCATCCCCTTCCCTAAATGTCCCCACCCACCCCCAGGTACAGCTGACCACTCCTCAGGGGCTGGTGGAGGGCTGGTGGGAAGTGTTCCTTATAGTCAGAGACCCCGGGGAAGTCAAGTCCAAAATGGGCCTGCAGACTCAGAAAAGCAGCTCTGGCCTGAGATGTCCGCAACTCTGAGCTTTTGGGTTGGACAGTCAGAGTAGACATGGGAACTCTTCCAGGAACCCCCTGCCACCCCCACCATAACCTGCGAGCTCTGAGCTCCACACGTGGAGACCCCCTATGTTCCCAACATAAACCACCAGGCCTTACTGGGTGCTGCCAGAGGCTCCCACCAGAGGCCCGGGAGAACGAGGTGAGGCAACAGCCCCAGTGGGGCTCACGACTGCCCCAGTCCTTCCTTCAAGACGCATTAAAATGTTCGAACCCCAGGACCACAGTTTCTGTGGTCACTGCCTTGGATAGCCGCTGTCTGTTCAGAGAAATGCTAACAAAACCCCAAGTGCCCCTCATACGAATGCCCCTGGTGGCACAAAGTGTAACAGCCCCTGGGCTCTCTGGCAGAGCACCCTAGAGTGGTACAGCGGAGGCTGAGACCAGGTGGGCACAGGGCAGCTCAGGACGGCACAGCCACACCACCTGGCTACGCAGCAAGAACACTACCTCGAGGGTCTGGGACAAGGTGGGACGGGACAGACACCGGAGGCAGGCGGGTGACGGGGGGGACCTTTCTTCTGCCTGCTGGTCATTCGGTGCTCTGATTTAGGACACTTGATAGCTAGCCTAAGAGCCAATGAAACTTTTGAGGAACCCAGTGCCTTCCTCACTCGTGAGCACATGACACTGTCCTCTAGCTGTCCCCCAGGAGGTGACTCTGGCCTCACTCTGGGAACAGGGTACAGATACAAAGTGGCAGACGCTCCCCCCTCCCACACAGCCAGCCCCACCTCCACGCTGCTACCCCACCCCAGGCCTCCTGTCCTCATGCAGGAAGGATGTGGGTTGGCTGAAGGACACAACACAAGAACTGACCACATGCTAGACAGGGCCACGTCACATGGGCTGACAAACACCTCCACCGCCCGGTTCGGGAAAAGGGGTGGAGCAGCCCTGACGTCCTGCCCCCACCTATAGCTGTAGGCAGTGCCCAGTGGGAGAAGGCTTTCTCCCCAGCGGGGGGTGCCCCTCAGGATGGCCCTTCAGTGCAAGGTGGTAGGGATGACCCACATTTTCCAATAGGGAGCCAAGCTTTGCAGAAGGGCTCCGGCAGACTTCCACCAAGATGGAGGCATAGGTGGAGATGCCTTGCTTTCTCACACAACCAAGTTTAGAGTCAACTAAATATTAGCAACAGAAAACACAGCCAGAACACAGAAAATTGAACTTTTCAGAAGTCTGGTAACAACAAATTCTTCAGCCTAACCAGTAAGAGGGGTGAAACCAGCAGCTGGCGGAGCAGGGTTGCACAGGAAAACTCAAGTCAGACAGACTCAGGTGCGCACCCAGGCGCAGTGTTGCAACAGGTGGACCTAGTGAGCGACCCAGCGAGCGACCGCAGGGAACCAGCAGAGCCGAGATTTGACTAGGGTTGTGCATTCATGTGCAGATAGACAAGCGAGGGAGTGGGCG